TTATGTTATGTTATGTTATGTTATGTTATGTTATGTTATGTTATGTTATGTTATGTTATGTTATGTTATGTTATGTTATGTTATGTTATGTTTGTTATGTTATGTTATGTTATGTTATGTTATGTTATGTTATGTTATGTATGTTATGTTATGTTATGTTATGTTATGTTATGTTATGTTATGTTATGTTATGTTATGTTATGTTATGTTATGTTATGTTATGTTATGTTATGTTATGTTATGTTATGTTGGTATATTAACTCTATTTTTAGGACCATTTTTTACGATGCATTGTCCGTTTTCAATGAGAAAGATGCCCACAAAAATGTTTTGTGAAATGTTTTGTGTGTGTAGAGTTTAAGAAAAGGGCCTGAAGAATCAGAAAATCAGGACAATCATGGAAAATTACTATGCAAAAAATGTGAGAAAGCAATTTCCATTTGATAGATCTGTGGACATGAAGCAGCAAAATAATAAGTTCGGCATTCGTTACCACAAAAGGCCAAAGATTGCCGATGTTTTCATAGGTTTCCTGAGATTGGGAAAAAATTTGTCTCTAAGATGAACACTATAGCATAGTCTATGGCAGATGAAAAAATTTCCGAGGAGTCCTGTAATAGATATTACTTGTGGCCAAATAAAAGTCCCCTTTTGAAATTGCCCGCGTAGTTATGATGCCAAAAAAGAGGCCCTGTTTAGAAATCCGTGATACTTTGGAGTCTGAAATATAAATAAAGATTTTTTCTATTAATAAGTTGCTTTTGCCAGTAAATATCTTTCAAAATATTTTTCGACCATCTCTATTGTGACCATCTCTGAAATTAATTTTCGTTACAGAAAAGAAGGCCATGGCCCCTGAACCCCTAGTTTTACTGGTTCTGTAAGAAGTGCGTATGGGGCAATTGCCCCCTTCCCCTCGCTTTTCCTCTTGTGTGCAGCCTTGGCTAAAACGTAGGTTCTAAGATAAAACGTCAATCGCATTTCAGATTGGTGAGCTTTGTAGAGCAACTGATCCTTGCAGAACAGGAGAGCAATGCTTCGACACATGCACGTGCCCTGGATATCAATGCATTGGTAAATACCTTCGATATATTTTATTTGCAGCACATTCAGGGATATTTCTGGTCTCAGCAGTTATCTAAATGTGCCTCTAAAGGAAAACTGTACCATTATCATAATCAGACCAAACAATGCTCCTTCGCTAAGTTTATTTTCACCGCCCACTACAAACAGATAAAATAATTAACAGATAAACAGATAAAAAACAGATAAAATAAATCGATGAAAAGAACAGCCATGTTCTTATAACTAGAATACTTGTTAATCTCGCATAATTCCAATATGTAAAATATCGAATTTTAATTCCCTCTACAACAAAATATGACATATCGAATTATCTGTATCCCATTTGGTAAGAAATATAAAGTTATATTTAAAGCTCGAATGAATTTTATTTACAGATAATGATGAGTGCCGCACGGGAGCTCATAGTTGTCATCCAAAGGCCAATTGCATCAATACTGTTGGCTCATTTTCATGTAAATGTAACGCAGGATTTTCTGGAGATGGAACAGTGTGCACAGGTAATGATTACAAGGCTTCTAACAGCATACTGGCTTTTAAACACACCTATCAAAGAGCTTTAGAAAAGGAAACAGATCCTTGAGAAATTAAAAACCGTTACCTGTGTCGAGACTTACTGGCACTTCAAGAAAAATTGTTTTATTTATGAATATTTATAATAGCACTTCCAAACCATTTGATGCAGAGAATTCTGAGTTCAAAGAAACAAAATGACAGTTAAAATGCTTAGCTTTATCTCAATGCAATCCAAGTCTTGCTTACATCAATTGCATTTCAAATTGAATTCAAATTTAAAAGGCCTCAGCTCAAATTCTAGAAATATTTCCAATCAATAACGAAGATGTTCCCATTGGCATGTATATTCACTTGTACTGCAATAACCATTTGAACAAATCATTTTGTGCCGTCTTTTTATTTCTGTATCAAGATATTGATGAGTGCAGCACGGGAGGTCATGGTTGTCATCCTAATGCTATTTGTACCAATAATTTTGGCTCATTTTCATGTCAATGTAACGCAGGATTTTCTGGAGATGGAACAGTGTGCACAGGTAATGATTACAAGGCTTCTAACAGCATACTGGCTTTTAAACACATTTTTCAAAGAGCTTTAGAAAAGGAAACAGATCCTTGAGAAATAAAAAACCGTTACCTGTATGGAGACTTACTGGCACTTCAAGCAAAATTGTTTTATTTATGAATATTTATAATAGCACTTCCAAACCATTTGATACAGAGAATTCTGAGTTCAAAGAAACAAAATGACAGTTAAAATGCTTAGCTTTATGTCAATGCAATCCAAGTCTTGCTTACATCAATTGCATTTCAAATTGAATTCAAATTTAAAAGGTCTCAGCTCAAATTCTAGAAATATTTCCAATCAATAACGAAGATGTTTCCATTGGCATGTATATTCACTTGTACTACAATAGCCATTTGAACAAATCATTTTGTGTCGTCTTTTTATTTCTGTATCAAGATATCGATGAGTGCAGCACGGGAAGTCATGGTTGTCATCCTAATGCTATTTGTACCAATAACGTTGGCTCATTTTCATGTAAATGTAACGCAGGATTTTCTGGAGATGGAACAGTGTGCACAGGTAATGATTACAAGGCTTCTAACAGCATATTGGCTTTTAAACACAGTTAAAATGCTTAGCTTTATGTCAATGCAATCCAAGTCTTGCTTACATCAATTGCATTTCAAATTGAATTCAAATTTAAAAGGTCTTAGCTCAATTTCTAGAAATATTCCCAATCAATAACGAAGATGTTTCCATTGGCATGTATATTTACTTGTACTGCAATAGCCATTTGAACAAATCATTTTGTGTCGTCTTGTTTCTTCTATATCCAGATATTGATGAGTGCAGCACGGGAGGTCATGGTTGTCATCCTAATGCTATTTGTACCAATAGCGTTGGCTCATTTTCATGTAAATGTAACGCAGGATTTTCTGGAGATGGAACAGTGTGCACAGGTAATGATTACAAGGCTTCTAACAGCATACTGGTTTCATTTGAAGAAGTATTATTAAATAACTATTAAAAAGTTTTGTAAAGGAAACAGACCCTCGAAGAGGAGAAAAACTCTTACTTGTATCGAGATTTTTGGGAAATTCAAGAATAATTGTTTTACTCAGAGGCGGTCTGGCGTCAAAATTGCAGGGTGGCTAGAAAACTCAAAGAGCCCGGTTTAGGGTGTGGTGGAAAATTGAGCCAAACCCACTAAAAATGTGGCCTTAAAATACAATTAATTTAATAAAAATTTATAACAAAGGAATGTGCTAACAGCAGCAGTATATCTATTTTAATTCGTAAATTCGGACCTAATTGGATCGATACGTTTCCTCTCGTGTAAAAAGGGTTTAAAATCCGATGTAGAGTTAAAAATCAAGATCAAAATTTATTTAAGCACTCAGAGTTTCAACTCTTTTCGAAGAAGTGCAGATGGATCAGGAAATTGGTCAATGACTTGCTCGTAATCAAGCTTTCTCTTCGCTGTATGTTGTATTCACTAATTTTTTTATAAGAAGCAGTAAATTTAGGTTCAGGCTGACTTTGCCACCCGGCCCAGACTACCCCTGGTTTTATTTATGAATATTTCTAACAGACCTTCCTAGCAATTCGTACAAAGATTTCAGAGCTTGAGTAAACAAATTAAAAGTTGTAATGGTTAATATCTTTTCATTGCAATCCATGTTTGTATATAGAGTTGGCATATCAAATTAGCAGCTTGGGTATTAGTTGCCTTTAAATAATTCACTCCTCTTAGGGGGTCGTCATTATACGTTGCCGTTGATCGGATTGGGTAGCGTTTCAGCGGGGTGGCCACTCGGGGTTGTCAAAATGAAGATGCTTTCATTTACATGTATATTATTGCAAGTACAATTTTATTATACTATTGATCAAATCATCTTGTGTCGTCCTTCCTTTCTATTTGCAGACATTGATGAGTGCAATGCTGGTTTGCACAACTGTCATCACTACACTGGCTCCAAATGCAACAACACAATTGGTGGATTTTGGTGTGAATGTTTTCCAAATCATCTGAAAATTGGAAAAGCTTGTTTGGGTATTGAAAGCTATAATAATATGAATAATTATATATACAATGGCATAGCTAGAGGGGTTGCAATAGTGAGGACACATTGCCCTGATTTTTTATTTCATTGTTTTAAGGGGGTATCTGCAAAATAGCTATCAATAGCTGATGAAAACCAAATAACGAACATAACAAAATAATGATTAATGTACAATATTATGATTATGCAATGGAACCAACGCTTCTAACACAAAGACCGCGGAGCATATCACAGACTGAGGGGCCTAAAACATTTTGGAGGGCTGAACATGCTCAAAACGAAGAGCAAGGCAAATTTTTGAATAGTTTTAAGTACATTTTGCAAATTATTGGGGGGCTAAAGCCCCCCACTCCCCACGCTTCCGCGGTCCCTATACTAACATACTGCCTGCAGGTGCAATTGAATTCAGTGAATTATTCATCAACTTTCATCTTTAGATGATTTGGCAAAAAGGCCTCAAAAAACAACCTTTGCAGTTTCTCCCTTCCCAGTGGTAGTTACACAATCAAGTTGCAAGAGTATTGAGGGCAACTTGCATCAAAAGGGAAGTTTAGGGGTTATCTGTTGCTTCATGCTATTGAACTGTCTTACCCCTCAAAAAATCTAGGTTACACCTCTGCAAACTATCTGTTTAAGTGTGCATAAAAACTTGAGTTTCTGTACTGGATTGTCTCTACTCTTTCATTGTTACAATTTGATGTTTAATCCTATACTGCAAATTAACCAAGTTTCTATCAGTTCGATTAAAGTTTGCTCTTATATCACTTTAGTTAGGTCTGTTTGTACCTTATGCATTTTTCATCTGATGTATATGCATTTCAAATAGAATTTTACTTCGGCGCTATATATGCTATGTCCATATTATTTAAGACTATCATTAACCTTACAATCTGGCAAAGTGGAGCTTAAACGAGGCCCCCACCCAACGAGAAAGCTGCTTATTTCATGCTCGAGTTTCCCCAAGAAGAAAGAGCACAGAAAGGACTGGTTTTCAAATTCGCCATTAAATAATAAATAAAAACTGTTTGTGTTATATATCGTAGGAATATCTTTCTAGCAAAGATAGGTTGTTTAGTTGGTTGTAAGCAAAAAATATCTTACAGAAAATGTCGCAGTGAAAAAGACTTCATCTCAATCATCAACATTCACAGACAGCCAGGCAAGGGCGCTGGCTGCATCTTTTGGAAATGATGGAGACCTGAGCGCATGGTGGGGGACCAGTGCTGTAACATTAACTGAATATTTGCCTTGGTGGCAAGTGGATCTCGCAAGAGTAGTTGTGGTGATAATGGTTAGAATCAAAGTCTGCATGTACGATTGGGACATGATTAATCCATTTAATGTCACTGTTGTCAATAGGGAAACCGCTAGGTTCAGCACCAAATTCTGCGTCACCAACGGGAGATTGAGTAATTCTTCGATTGCAAGGTTCAATTGCACAATTTTACCGTTTGGTCGTTACGTTACAGTGTTTGTCAAGAGACAGGATCAATTGAGAATTGCTGAGGTTGAAGTTTACGAAGGTATGTCAAGTAATACACGCTTATGATGTTATGACTTCCATCATACCGTAAATTTCGGTAAATTGCAATGTTTTAGAAAATGCTGATATAGCCATCAGGGGCGCAAAACTCAGGGGGAGTAGAGGATGTCACACATCCAATATTCCCATCCAGTCTGTTCCAGATTTCATAATCGTGAAAAGTTGTTTTTTCTATGGCTGTTGGACCAGATGAGGGCAATATAGGCAAAGGGGAATATCGGTTCATTTTTAAGTACAAAAGAAAACTATGAAAGAGGCAAGAGGCATTGTGAAAAGAGTCGGTCCTAACCGATCTGAAACGTCCCTTTTATTCTGCAAACATCCACTCTTTAATGTCAAAGTATAACATAGATGACTAAAGATGACATAGATGACAAATTTATAAGAGAAAACTGTCTCATTTATTTTACTTAAAGAACATCATAAGAGTTGGTTTCATATAATGTTAGCTTTGTATGCATTTCTTATTTCTTGTTACATAATGCACCGAGACTGTTCCTTCATTGATGTGACTTGAAATAGCAGTAAGACGTTCCTAAGATGAATAAATGCTCTCGTCATTTGGTCTCGTGGAGGCCAACAGCGCCTAGAAAGAAGCCTATAATTTTTATACCTTCCTATAAGGGTGCATGTCTGTTTGCCCCCGAAGTGCTGTGTCCTCCAAAAAATACCATGGGTACTAAAGCCACATAAACTCGAGAGCGGAAATAGAAGATAGGAGTGGAGAAGCGGAGCAGCGTCTATCCGAGAAGAAGAAAAAGTGGCTCTGACCTTTATGGCAACGTGGCAACCGAAATAATCCGAAACATGTCGCCATTATAGTTTTTTGCACAATCTGGGTATTCTAGTAAATGCTGCCCGATAGCAGAATAGCAGGTTTTAGTTGTAATTTTAGATTTGCAAGACCGAGGTGGCTGTTCTCTTTGGGGATGGGTTTTGTTTCTAATATTAGACGGAACATGTTGTTTTATTCTATCCTCCAATCTTATTGGTAAAGCCGATGGTCGTTCCACCTAGCAGTTTTAGAATCTATCTACATAAGCACAAAAAAAGCGCTACTGTGTAGACAAAAGGAGTTCGTTTTCACCTTAGGACTCCATTGGTAACATTCTCAATAGGCAAGCGGCACTGATTGGTCAACCTATACAGTCATGTGCTTGTGTTTCTGATTGGCCTATTTCGATCCACAACTGGGTATATATATTTCTTCGCGTAGAGTTTTCGATCTATGTTCTGACGTTTTAAACTCAGACGAAAAGCTTTAGTTTACTAAATGTTTGCCTTTTTCAAAGCCATTTACAAGTTTTGTACCACCAAAAAACTATTTTTAGAACTTTCGAATTATGACCACATAACATAAAAGAACACCATGAAATACTCCCATATATGCAAAATCGGTTAAATTTGTCAAAAGTCGGATGAGCTATGGCCAATAGGAGATTTGAAGTTTGCTAACGAATTACTGTTATTTTGGCTCAGTTTATAAAGTTATGAATTGAGACCAAATTACAGAGGTTTGATGAGGCCAGAGCTTTTGCTCATCGGGTCATATCTCAGCCAATTCGTAATACGTTTAACTGATTTTGCAGATTTAGACGTATTTCATGAAACCCTTTCAGCTTATGGGAATAAATTTCAAAAATTTTGAAAATATATTTTTGTGACGTCATCACTTGACAATTCTATTCCAGAGCCACTTTTCCTTCTTCTCGGCTAGACGCTCCTCCGCTTCTTTGCTTGGCATTCTATTTATGTGCTCATACATTTGTGGCTCTGTATACAGATGTTGATATCACCATTTTTGCCATCCCTGATGTGTCCATTTTGAATCTTCGAAGTTGATTGCTACATTTGGGAGGGGGCCTCTCAACCGTCTTCTAGAAGGGAAAAATATTTACTCCAAAACAACTTACTACAGAGCCGTCGGATTTCGTTGCTTCGAGTCTCACCGTTCGTCCAATCTCTGTTTAGGTCCGACTGCCCGCGGTTCTTTTGAAAACAAGACAAACGCGCGTATCAGAAACCTTGGGGCGAGTTGAACTAGCCCCGAGCAATTCAATTCAACGGTAGCTGAATTTTTGTTGTTGTGAAAGGCAAAGTTTATCTTGAAGTGGAACGCAGCAGAGTTGCGTGTCTTCGTTGACTCGCAATTTCAGCTTTAAAACTTCGAAATAAAACAAACAATCTCTGTATTTATCAGAATTGATTTTGCCGATCCTGAATAAGCTCAAAATAAGAAGGCTGGGCCATAGACCTTCTAAAGGCATAAAGCATATTTACAATGCAGGCTTTCAACTTGAACAATTTTAGCGTCACGGCATATGAAAATTAATCAATTAACAGTTTGAACTTTTTGTTTTTTGACAATTTTTCAATTGCCATGATATGCAATGCAAAGGATATCGTCTACTTTACGGGTTGGCCATATTCAAGTTGTCTATGTTTTTATGGACACCCCCCACGAACTCCCCTTTTTGTGAAAAGAGAAACGGTTCAGCGGACTTAAATGAATAAAGTCGAGCATACCAACATTTCACAAAGTTTATTACTTTGCTTGTTACAAATCATACATAATCAATGGTGGCACTTGTTTTTTTTTCAATCAAAACTTTCAAAATGATGACAGCCTTGTTGATTAGAGGTAAAGAAATGGAAAGAGAAATAAGGCAATGCTGCTAGTAAAAGAACCATTTTAGCTTGCTAAAATAGGACTTGATCAGTTCTCTCTCTTTTCAGGGTCAGCGAAACTAGCAACATGCCCCCTCACTCTTGTATTTAGAGCAATATATAAAAAAAATAAAATGAAATGAAGTACTATTCTGTACGTCATTGTGCTTTGTTGTCCCTCAAATATACCCTTAGCTATAAATTTTGTTTCTATACTTGTGCCATTAAATATGAGATTTTGGTGAAAGAAGCGGATTTGTAATATGAAAAATTGCTAGCACATTTAGCTCAAATCCTTGAAGAGAATTAAAAGAAATGATGACATTCAACGAGCGACTAATCACCTTTTTTCTGTTATCATATTTGCAGATCTTTCCAGGCTAAACTTTATTTTGCAGCTATTACAATAATGCAACCCTCGGTTCTCCGCGAATGCACATCACAGTCTTTCTCAAGTACTATCTTGCTGAAACATATAGCGAGACCAGGAGCAATAATTTACAAGCACTGCCTGTCCTAAATAAATCTAAATAACAACAAAATATTGACGAGAGCTTTCTAAAGCCTCTTGAACATAGCAGTTAGCATCCTTATATCGTAATAGCCTGGACATCTTACATACCGCTATGTATCTGTGTGTATCTGCCCGTGCTTCTATGTATCTCTCTAAATCTAACTTGCCAACTCATATATGTACGTTAATCTACATCCCGTTGTTGCTTTAGGGGCTATTTATTGTAATGACTTTTCGATTACCTCGGTTACTTTTCTTGCATTATCAATATCTTCAAATTGTCCGAGCAGCGTTGGTAGCGCTCGGGGTCAAATAGGGAACGGGGTCAAATAGGGAAATCGGGGTCATATAGGGAAATCTTTAATAACTCCAAAAATTGGACAGATATCTCAAAACCAACCTCAGAATCGGATTCGGCATGCCTCAATCTACCTTTTAGATGCTTATTTATTCAACTATGGCAATTTTTACAGAATAAATGATAATGTTTTTCTTCTACGTTAGCTTGATGCGTGTCTCCTCCGTAGCGACGGGAGCAAATAGGCAAAACACGTTGAAAAGCATCGATTTAACTAAAAATAAATAGCAAAAGGTAGAAATATCAATATAAAATACACATTCTCTTCATATTCATCCAAATCTCACACATCCCGCAACGAGGGTTACAAGTTTTCTCTAAATAAATCAGCTGAGTGATCGACGCGCTCGGGGTCAAATAGGGAAATCGACATTTGGGGTCAAATAGGGAAATGACTAAAAACTGCAAGAAACAAGCACGAAAAAGAAAACTAACCTCATTGCAAGGCAATGAGTAATTAAATCTGCTCTTTCTATCCATTTGTCTGCTAGAAATCAAGCTATATCGATAGATAGATACAATTCAGACAACGTTCGACACGCACTTAGGCCCTTGTTTACAGATTGATCTCCTCCACAGTTTCGGGGTCAAATAGGGAAACAGCTGCCTATTTGATATGAACTTGAAATACATAGAATTTTTTCTATGTACTTGAGATTTATATTCCTAAAGCCTTTTTTAAATTTTCTCAATGCAAATTACCATGTCATAACTACAATTTGATTATCCTTACAAAATAATTTTGCTGCACAATGAGCATATAGTTTTCTAGAACTTGTTTTACATACTTTTGCAAAGTTCCATGACTGATCTATGGGAAAACCCTTCAAATTCCTTGGACTTCCTTGTGTTTTGCAACTGATTTTTGAAAAAAAATCCTCAAAGGCCTGGGAACAAGTACCCTCGTCTAAAAATAGCTCAAGGGGTACTTGACAGTTGGGGGCAGTATCCCATCTTCAGCGATCAAGTCATGAACTTGCAGCACGATTCTTGCTTTAATTGTGTTTTGAAACTGATTTTTGGGAAAAAATCCTCAAAAGCCTGGAATCGAGTACCCAAGTCTAAAAATAGCACAAGGGGTAATTTGCCACCTTGGGTCTGCATACTATCTTTTTCCACTTATCAAACTCTGTATGTTCACAAAGTTTCATGCTTTTATCGCGATCTTCAACTGATTTGTGGAAAAACCCCTTCAAAGGCCTGGAATCGAGTACCCCAGTCTAAAAATAGCACAAGGGGTAATTTGCCAGCTGGGTTCCGCATTCTATCATTTTCAGCGTATCAAACTATGTATTTTCACAAAATTTCATGCTTTTATCGCGATCTTCAACTGATTTATGGAAAACCCCTTCAAAGGCCTGGAATCGAGTACCCCAATCTAAAAATAGCACAAGGGGGCATTTGCCAGATAAGATATGCATCCTATCTTTTTCAGCGTGTCGAACTCTGTATTCTGACAAAGTTTCGTGCTTTTATCTTGTTTTGCAAGATTTTCTTATCAACATCACTGACAAAGGTTCCAATGGCTATCGAAGGGACATGTCAAACCTATTACGTCACAGCGTCGATCTGACCGCGTTCGAGTGGCATCGCTTTTGAGGGTCACTACTTTTTCGGGCTTTCGAGCGCCATCTAGCAATATCTAGACAAGTTCAAGTCGTAGAAAGAAACGGAAAACGGCGTCTTGACAAGCAAAAAAAGCTCTACCAAATATGTGAAAATCGTTTTTCGGTTCATATGACCTTTAAGGAGACGACATTGAATAACTGATGCAATTTTAATAGGCGCATGCGCCTGTATCTGAGTCGTTTATTCGTACCCTGATAATGAAAAAATCATGAATTTCCGATTATAAGCACATGCGCTTTTCAGGGGGTAACAGGGTAATAATTTTGCATCTTTACTGTCAAATGAGTTTTGCCGGCCCTGTTCGCTTTCCACTGCGCTCCTTTTGAAAACTTATGTCTGTAAAAATCAGTTACGATTCTCTCTTTGAGGTATTTCTATGACCACCTTAGCTTAATTCTACGATCCTAAAAAATTTATTCTAAAATTTCTAAAATTTAGCAACAAATATCGCATATAAGAAGCCGTCCTCACATTCGTCAACATCTACAATACAAGAAATTCCATTGGTTGCCAGCTTCGGGAATGATGGTGACAGAACTGGGGAATGGCAGAGGTGCAGTATCACATTGAATGACATATTACCCTGGTGGCAAGTGGACCTTGCAAGGCAAGCTGCAGTCACATTTATCCGAATAAAGAATGGTGCAACTTGGGGTACAGATAGAATCAATCCATTCGATGTGAGTGTTGGGGACGATAAGTCAAATGGCGGACGAAACAATACACTATGTGTGAAAGATGGAACATTGGCAAGTGGTCAAACGAAAAGGTTCATTTGTCCGAGCCTGTTGCTTGGTCGGTACGTGACTGTGTTCTTGAACAGGCAAGAGATTCTTCAAGTATGCGAGCTTGAGGTTTATGAAGGTATGCATTTACATTTTAAAGTTCGTTGTCAGGTTGATAATAATCTTACAGGCAAAGCGAAACGATTTACGATTGATTGGACAATATTATAACAGAATGCTGTTCGAAAGGGTTGGCTATGAAGCTCAACTTCAACCTATTTGTTGGAGCGCCTACTATTCCGCAATATCTAAACAAGCCCATCAAAGCTTTTTATTTTGCTATGACATCTATATTCTACTTCCTTTGTGAACAATTTTTTCGCGGTGCAGAACTTGAAAATGGCTTTGAAAGAAGCAAACAGTGCACAACATCCTAAAAGCTTTTTCGTCAGACACTCCTTAGAGTATAAAACTTCAGAATAAGGGTCTGAAAGAACACGATAGTAAATATATACCCAGTTCTGGATCGAAATAGGCCAATCAGAAAAACGCAAGCACAAGACCGGTATAGTTGACCAATCAGTGCTGTGTGCCTATAGAAAATTTAACACTTGAGTCCAAGTGAGAAAACGAATGATTCCGACTACACAATGGCGGCTTTTTCGTTTTTATGTAGATCGATTCCAAATCTACTAGATGAAAAGACGACCGGGCTCTGCCAATTATCTAAAATATGTCGTCATTATAAAGTTTTGCACAATCTGGGTTGTCTAAAAGGTGCTGTTCGATGGCAGAGTCACAATTTCCTTCCAACATGTTCCTTTCAACATAGGAAAAAAACTGTCCCTAAAAAAACAACAGCCTCCTCGATCGTGTAGGTCTAAAAGTACAGTAAAACCTAATGACAGACGAAAAAGCTTTTTATAGTATGTTTAGAAATGTTTGCTTTTTCAAAGCAATTTTCTACTTCTTTTGTATCCCAATTGGGAACTAGATGATGTCGATCCATTTTTAGGCCTTACTGGATGAATGTTGCCTAGCCTCTGAGAAGCACTTCTTTCTGGTAAAGGAACTGTTTTGGTGAGTCGCTATAAAAGGAAAAATATGAATTTATGCAAAAAGGACATCGATTTTCCCATATGAACGGCTCAGTATTTTACGAACTGCGTGTAGATAAATAAATTAATCATAAGAAAAGGCTTCTTTTTAAGGTTCTTGGTTGAAAGAACTAACTCAAAGTGGTTGTAAATGTTTTTTCTGTTTACCTTATAAACTGCACATTAAAAATAGGTTTTATTTGAAAAAGACATTTTCGGCAATTATGGCATATAAAAATTACCATAGTTTTTAATGATTATTTGAATTGTAGAATCGGAAATTTGTTACACGTGATTCGAATAAGTGTAATAATGGATTTTGAAGTTATGAATCACATCTTACTATGTTGAATGTGTATGATGCACACTGTATGCGTTACTTCTTAGTTCATTAAATATGTTTTCCTAAAGTTAAGTGGATTCATATACCTGTCGATCATACATTGTCGTTGTTTCAATGCCAAAGTGTATGGAGTAACGAAGCTGTTAATGTCTTTATCAAATGTTAGGAAGTCCCTTAGACTTAAGGGTAACTTTCGGAATTAGAGAAACCAGAAATCCCATGCTCCTGTCCGCATTCGGTGCAACGCCAATCACTAGGCTGACGAGGGGATTAAAGTTTAGGCCCCACCCGTTCTGCTGTCAAAACAAACCCTTTTACCAGCAGGGAACGCAAATTTTGCCAATGTGAGATGCTAGAGAGGAGCGTATAGTACATTTCAGAGTTTTTAATTAGGCTTTTGATAATTTAGTTTTTCTTCGTGCCTTTTTTACTGAGAGGCAGTGGCATACTTTCACCTTCAAAATTGGGGTGATATTAAACGGTCATAAAATGTTAAATTCACCACCGTAGAACAATATTTCCTTGTGGCAAGTGAATACAAAAGTAAAACAATATTTCACGTTTTCTTACTGGCAAACGACCTTAACGACCAACTAAAGATTTCAACAACAAGCTCATGGAAAACTTGGGGATGTCACCCCCCCCCCCCTTTATATTTCCTCATCTGGTTGCTAAATTTTAATGTTTGGCAGCCTGAGCCAGGCCGAAAACCAACGATATATCTATAAACCTATTCGTTTATTCGTGTACCGGCTTTTTGCTTCATGCAGCTTTCATTATTTGAGCTTTCGCTGCAAATTTTAGGAAAATTTCCAAAAGACCAGGGGCCTCTTAGAAACTACTGCCGTGCTTGATTGACGAGTGAGCAAAAAATTGCCGAACTCTGCATTTCACAAAATTGTGATTTGATTTAGTCTTTTGATATGGTTTCAAAGTAACCTTGCATGGATAACCAAAATATTCAAATGAAATTTATCATCGATGTCGAATTTAAAATTGCGACTATCCAAGATTGAGTAGCTACATTTTCATACAGAAAAGAGAATCATCTTACAAAATTAAGTTACTTTTAGGGCATCCAACTCGATTTTATAGATAAGATAGTGCCCACCGCTTGGCTAGATAGAAAAAAGTTCTAATGAATTGCTACTCAAAGCCTAGGAATCACTTTATAAACTGAAATGACATACAAACTTTTGAAGATTGAAGATTATATTGTAAAGAATTCATATGAACGAATGTATACGTGGGAGAGATGGCCAATAACATCATATATAGCTGAATGGTTGTCCTGTTTACTAAAGCAGAATATTTGTAATTAGCTGATTTGGATGGTTGCTTTACGCTTTTATAAAAGACCTAAAAGACGTAGTACGACAAAATCTCAACAAACTCAGTGGCCCACTTGCAGCAGAACAGATGTGACAAGAAAGTCATCGAAATATCAAGAAAGAGAGACGAGGAAAAAGGTCACGTGGTTTTTCTGTGCTCAACTTCCTTGCAACTCATTCCTTTTTTGACAGTTTCCAAAGGACATATCAAAACATTTTTTTGAAAACATTAAAAGATGCTCGATTGTAATTTAAACTAAAGGAAATTTTGTTCCAAGTTTTTCGAGAGTATCTAAGCCGTAGCTGTGAATTGTTTCTTTCAAACCTTCCATTCCACTTGATGAAATATCAGAACAAATGATTCTTGAAGACTTCCTATAGCATTAGTTTCAAAACAGAGTGAATAAAACCCTGGCACTTTTTTCTTCTGCATTTTTCATCAGCTCTTGGCAACGAATTCTTTGCTTGACTAGCAGTGTTCTTACATGCAACGCTTCCCTATTCCAGTTTGCATTGACGCCTAAACATAACTATAAACGTGCAAATAAAAATGGCCTTTTAAAGGTATCGTTGCAAGTACCAGTGCTAATTACACAACATCATTCATAAACCTAGCATGGCTTACGCAAACTGAGCTTCAACCACCTCGTAGGTCATTCATTATTTATGCTAAAGATGAAACCCAGTGGTCGTAGATTTCCGCACTGCTTTACAGACAAAAAAATAACACAATCCTCGTTGACCTTTAAAGCAGCGCTATGGTCATTGGATGTTTTATCACACAACATTTCACATACACTAAAAATGACTTAATCATATGACTCATAGAAGAATTAATAGCATTTGATACTCTCTAATCTTTTACATAGTGTTTGTTTTCTCACTTGTTATCTACGTTTTCCTGATTGTGCCTTGAAGTACGCTTTCTGACAATGTTAACAAGGTAAACTTTTATTCAATTCTGTTACCTTTACTCTCTACTTGTTTGAATCTGTCTGTTTGTGTGTTTGAAAATACTGTACTGATGCAGGGAGATTGCAGCAAAAGGAAGGAGGTTGATAAGATTAAGTAGTGCACGCGTAGATTCCACCTTTGGCACGCGTAGATTCCATCTTTTTTAAATACCAACATAAGTAACTATCATTGTCTTTCTGAATGTCCACTGTGAATTTCAAATTTAGAGATATTTTCATAAAATCAGTAGCAACTTTAAACAATCGTTATAAAGCTGTTCAGTGCACCATGAAAGCCTCTACTGCCCCAAAAAAATGTAATTTTAAGACATTACGGTGAGGTATGGATCTTATGGATCTGCAGAGAAGAGAATCCTGCTAATTTTTATCAATTTTTCTATCAATCAGTGAAAAGATTTGTTAACGTTTGCATGTGAGAAATGTCAAGCATGCTTGTGGAAGATAACCCATGTGCCACAGCAAAGGGTGCACCTCAAAATCACTTTTTGGAATATACCACTTAATAGGCCCCTTATCAGTAAATTCTATCACTTGATCTGCCCTGACCATGTCTCTGTCATATAAAAGCAAAACCAAAAGAACTTTTGATAAAAGAAACTATCTGGAATTATATTTGCGTTGCCTGGAGAAAAACATTTAGGGAGCCACACCCTGTTCGCTCATACATTTGAACATAGTTCAGTTCAGTTCAGTTCAGTTTCTTATATTTTAAAATTCCTCTTCATACAATATCTTACTACAACTGCACTGCAACTAATTACATATATTGTTCACACATTACATAAAAACACTTGTAATAACAGGCAATAAATAACAATTACGTAAGATGTTATTTGCAGGGGAGTTTCTTTAGGAGGAGCTCTCTCAGTAGATGAACTAATAGAGGAGAGAGCATCCCCTTTTCTAAGATGATTTTAATTCAATTGATCATTTACATGAATGACAGAACAATAAATTTCGCTTCAGAATCAATTTTATAGTTCTGGTTGAATAAAAAGGTTTTAGGCTTTTGACAAAAACAGCCAACTTACAGTGATCTTTTTATATCTATAGGAATATTGTTCCAAAGATTTAGCACTAAAGAACGCACAAATCTAATACCAGATTGGAAATAATTTTTTCGTATTAAAAATGTCATTTCTCTAGCTTGTCGTGTACCATATTGGTGAGCATCTGACACAGATTCAAAAAATTGTGACACAGATTCAAAACATATCATAACGACATTACAATTGAAATAAAACAGAAGATTAAGTCTAATTATTTACTCAAAGTCATGTGTCATAAATAATACTAATTGAAGATTTTATGTTCTTTTTTTGCCAAAGGCATTTTTAAGTTGCCCATATGATTCAGAACAACTGAAGAAATCTTATAATTACCTTTAAAGACTGTCCTCTCAAATCGTAACACTTAGTTAAAAATAGAAAACCATGTTTTGCTTCCGGCAAGATCAGAAATTTTCCGACAAAATAGCTGCATGGCTTTACAAGGACGTTTGGCCCCCACCGATCCCCCGCTATCTAGGCCACTGTATAGATTATCATATTATCGTACTATAATGGCTATAAAAGGTTAGAGGACCAATCAACTATCTACTGAACTCATCAGATATTCTAATTACGGCAATAGGTAACTGAGTTATTATGGTAAAGCCTGAGTTCCAGACCCCTGGCTATAAGTCTTGGGCTCAGGCTAATACAATGAAGTTTGCATTATAAACCTCGCTTTGGGGAAGAGGTGTGAAAAATATAGACCAACTGAGGCCTGGTTGAATTCACCGTTTTCCTTATTCGCTCGGAGCGCAATGCATTCTGGTACTTGTAGTTAACAACAACACGGCAATCGGCGCGCTCTTCAAATCATTGCAAATATCGCTCAATCGCACTGTACGGCTGTTTACGATTTAAAAGATGGATAACCCTTCAATTACCAAAGAAACAAATACAGATACTTCTTCAAACAATCGCCCTAGTTTTTTTCAAAACTCTAGCCCGGGGCAACTCGTTGTATTACACCAAAAGCCAGAAGCTGTCGATATGGGAAGAGTCCTAAGAGTAGGCCTATGTGATGAGATCCCTAAAAAGCAATCAAAAGCTGGTGGATTCACGTGTTGCGTGCCAGGTTGTTTCAACAATAGCAAAAGAAACCCAGCTCTTAGTTTCTACCAGTTTCCGTTTGGAAATCGGCAAGAGAAGATCGACCTGAGGAAAAGATGGATATCCCTCATCAGTCGCAAGGACTTCAAACCAACGAATGGACACAGGGTTTGTTCGGTACACTTCGTTGGTGGAAAAAAGACTAACATGAGCAACGTGCCGCTCATCGTTCCAAAGGCAACTCGTCCCAGCATACCAAAACCAAGAGCAACATTTAAATGTCGTAACAGAGCCCTCACGGAAGAACGATTCGATCGGGAAAAACTTGTCGAAGTAATTGCAAATGGTGATGAGAACTTACCTGAGGCAGTTAATTCTGACAACCAGGCAAATGAGCTTGCTGCTCTGAGGAAGCAAATGGAAGCAAGGGAAAGACAGCACAAAGATGAAATAGAATCTCTTACAAAAATATTGGGTCAGGCTAAAAAAGAGAATGAATCAATGAAAGCAAAGATTAAACAAGTATCATTTCATGTTGATGATATAAAGGATGATACTGAACTATTTCATTTTTATACTGGTTTCCAAGATCATGAAACATTTCTGATATTTTTTGATTTTCTAATGCCAGCAGCAGAGAAGCTTATATACTACAAGTCAAACACAAATGCAGATACAATTTGCCTTGAGAATCCAAAGCGTGGACCAAAGAGAACACTGGCACTAGAGCAAGAGTTGTTTCTTGTCCTTGTACGTTTACGGTGTGGACTTTTAGAAAAAGACATAGCTTACAGGGCAGGTATTTCTGTTGGGCATTTTTCTAGGATCTTCATCACCTGGATTGATTTCCTATATACAAGGCTTAGACAGCTGCCAATATGGGCATCAAGGTCAACTATTGATGAAACAATGCCAAATGCATTCAAAGAAATGTACCCAAGTACACGTGTGATATTGGATGCTACTGAAATATTCATGGAAATGCCTAGTTCACTCAGGTCACAGAGTGAAACATACTCTAACTACAAACATTGCAATACTGCAAAGGGCTTGCTTGGTATTGCACCTTCAGGTGCAGTAACATTTGTGTCACACCTATATGCTGGCAGATGCAGTGACAAAGCAGTCACAAGGGATTGTGGTATCCTTAACCTTTTGGAAGCAGGTGATACAATCATGGCTGACAAAGGGTTTAACATAGAAGATGATCTTCCACCACAAACAGGGCTGAATATACCCCCTTTTCTCAAGGAAAAAGCTTCATTGACATTAGAAGAAGAAACAGAAACCAGAAGAATTGCCTCCCTACGTGTACATGTTGAGCGAGCCATTAGACGAATAAAAACTTTTAAGTTACTGAAAACAATATTTCCAATTTCAATGTCTGCTAATTTGGATAAAGTATGGGTGGTTTGTGCATATCTATCAAACTTTTTACCACCACTTATAGCTAAGAAATAAATGTGATTTCATACAATTGAAAAATTTTTTTTGTCTTTGTATCACTGTTTTTTAGGAAATTTCTTTTATCATTAAATTAAATGGAAATACACTTTTCATCAATTAACTTGGGCAATGGTTTTAAATTTTTTGCATTTCAATTTAGGAAGTGAGAGGAAATTGTCTCCTGTGTCACAAAATAATTTTGCCCCTACCCCACCTACAACTGTAGCATTTGATGACTGTAGCATTTCCTTAAACATAGCCATTACACCATTTAAACTCTAATTTGATTTCAGCTCAGCTCTAGAAATTCAGTTTGTTTGTTTTTTTTCATGATCAGAGAATTTTGGAGATGAAAAAATTGTCCTGACTTGTAAATTTTCCCATTAAGACATGACATTCTAACCAATGCCAAAATGACATAGCAGTTATTTAAAAGCAGTAAAAACAGATTTCATTTGGCTTCAACGCATCATAAATATCATATATTTTAATTTATATCAACATAAATGTTTCAAAAAATGTTGCTAACTTTGGTAACATTACAGTTTTCCAAAAATGACAGTCACATTCTAAACGTTGCACATATATATCTATGTCAGTATAAACAATAATGTCTAGCCATGAAAGGCCAATTATGTTCATTATTCCTTGGCATTGATAATAATAATGATGCTTTTCTTTCAAATTTGGCCCAGATCCTGAATCTCCCATGAAAAAGTTGTTATCTTGGCATGAATCTTGAACAGTTAAGTTCCTTTTTGTGTAAGGGCACTTAATCTCTATGCCGCCTACAAGCATCCCATCTTGAATTATCAATCCATCAGGGCTTGCACCAAGCCATGGCCATTTAGGATTGATCATCAGACCGCACTCAACAACATTACCTTGGTGGCAGAATTCTGTTTTGTACCTTTCTAAAGCCACCTTTTCCTTTTCAATGCCCCATTGTAACCCTGCTGTATTTGGCCCAGTTCCATCCCTCCTTTTAGCTATTTGATCAAGAATAGATTTTGGAAACACATTTTCCCTTCTTCTTAAGATTCTGCCAAAAAGGGATGATGTCAGTCGCTTTGACCTTTCTAAGAACCAGCGGTGGCTGCTTGCCTGTTTTCTTGTTTCTTTTTCAATCACTTTAATATCTTGTAAAGTGACTCCAACATTATGGGCTATACTGGCTGAAGTGGCCTTGGCAAAAAGACTAGAATCCATCTCTGCATGCATGTTTTTGAAAATATCATATGACATTTCCATAAAATTGCTGGATGGTGCTAATTCTTGTGCTGGATTTCCAGAGTGTTCAAAAAAGTCACAAGGTTTAAACTCGTTGCCTTTCAGAGTTTGAGCTAGTAAGTTGGCTTTCCCAGCCTTCTCTAAAGATTCATACAAACTTTGAATTTTACTACTGGCAACAACCTTTGCAAATGGAGGGGTTGCACAGAAATCTGTTCGGCTACCTGAAACTGCTGGCCTTTTACGCTTGCAAGACTTGTCTTTTTCAGGCATAGCTTTCTCAAAGCTCAAGTCTGCAAATTTGACAGCAACAGTTGAATTAAGTTTTCTTTCAGGCTCACACCATTTTTGAAGCACCTGAGTGCAGGTCAAATCCTCTGGAACGCAAGGCAGGCCCAAATTCGAAAAGTCCAGAAGAGTATACAGGAGTGCAGCAACATGTTTACAACAACCACCTTGTCCAGCTTTACAGTTGCATTTTGCTTTAACTACTGTTCCTGTTGATTGGTCTAAATGTGCATAAACTATGTATTTAATGCTCTTCATTGAAGCAGAAACAAATGCTTTTACCAAAAACAATGTAACGCAACCATATTCAACATCTGGTTTGACCCTCACTTTGCTCAAGTACCCTTCTTTCCACAACTTGTAGCCTTGGAGCTTGTTTCTGTAGGCATTCGGTGCAATATGATCAGGCATGTTCATTGCGTTATCAATAAGTTTCTCATTCAAACGGCTTTCCGTAAATCTAGGCATACATTTCAAATCAACGGTCCAGCTTCCATCTCTGAGATCAACGAAGTTATCATCGAAGGTAACGTCACTCCGTACCGCCATTTTGCTGGTAGCCTCTGGTACTTCTTCTTGCTGTAATACAGCGAGTTGCCCCGGGCTAGAGTTTTGAAAAAAACTAGGGCGATTGTTTGAAGAAGTATCTGTATTTGTTTCTTTGGTAATTGAAGGGTTATCCGGCGGACATGAACAATCCGGAGAGCTACCATGTTTTGCTTGATGTCATATTTCTAGGAGAGCGTTCCCTGACCCTAGGCGACCTGTGATCCGTTGATGTAGTCAAAAAAACTCCTTGACGTGTATGACACGAGGTTAATCGGATTATCCGAACCGGATCCTTCACCTTCGCCGGGTTATCCATCTTTTAAATCGTAAACAGCCGTACAGTGCGATTGAGCGATATTTGCAATGATTTGAAGAGCGCGCCGATCAGGGTTGGTAGATTCTTTTCGGGCTTCAAGCCAAATCAATGTTGGAAAAAAGCCAAATTAAGCCAAAATGTAAACGAGGCGGCAAAACAATAGAAAATTTCAAGTAGTAAACGAGGCTAGAAGTAACTTTTTTTAATTTAGATTAATTTATATTGAAGCAAACATAAAATTTTAGGCTTTTTTGCTATCAGAATATTTACCCTTCCCTCAACATTTTATCATTGGATTTAGATGAAGTAGAAAGTCAGTCAATACGACACAACCGCCTCCAAGTCCCCCTCTCCCCTTTTCGCATCGCGGTCATTAAACCCTGCTTCAACAGGCAGAAGGAATGAAGAACAAAGCGAAAACTACGTAGCAATCGGACAAGGTGGATAAAATCACAGATGTTCAACAAAGTGTCTAAATCACAATAAATTATGTGCATTAACTGCTTGAATTGTCAATTTCTGTTAGAATGATGAAAAAAGAAGGAAGGTAGGAAATAAGTACTTATGCCTGTACTTGTGGAAAAAAGCCAAAATTAAGCCAAAGAGTGACTTTAAGCCAAAAGGAATTTCTGAAGCCAAACAAGTTCGAAAAAAGCCAAATTTCTGGAATTTGGCTTAAAAAAAGCCAATATACCAACCCTGGCGCCGATTGCCGTGTTGTTGTTAACTACAAGTACCAGAATGCATTGCGCTCCGAGCGAATAAGGAAAACGGTGAATTAGATTTGTACTGTCTACAACTGTAGTATGGATCAATTGTGTAAATATATTATGGTGGCGTTGAAATAGCATTTTAGGGTCTATTGACCAAATAGGAAGATGTCTTGAATTTAAGATATATATCAGTATATTTTTATGAATAATTGCCAAGATTAAAGGCTTTACTGAATTCACCGCTATCGGACAGATTAATTTTACATTATCGAACTAAACATTGTAATTTTATTTCACAGTAGTCTCTGTCCACGTAAATTTTCCCCGTGTTTCCGAAAATGGGTCATTTCAAAGAAATCCTGATAAAGACACTACCTTCTCTGATACAAATCCATGTGACATATAGAAATTTCTCGGACATGGTTTTCCACACCAATTTGCGGAGAAATTGGCAGAATCTTCTAGAAATCTATTCTTTCTCACTGTTCGCGATTAAATAACAATTGCGGCTGGTTACCAAGGTAACTTTTGCATTTTGCAACTATGTAGCGTAGTTCTAAATCGTTCGTCAAATCAAATTGAAAAAAAGACATAGAGCTTTTTGGGAGTCAAGCTTCTCGCAGTATACAAGAACTTTTAGTAAGCAATCAGATTTCATTTCGCTTCCTATTATTGCAAGGCAGCTCTGACGCCTAGTAGCAGGACAGCTTATGTAACTCTGATATTGTGAATGTTCTACCTGCAGGGTTGTTGCTTAAACTACCTACATGCAGCAGGGACAGATTTAAGCCGCAATGATGGGGAAGGGGGGTGTTAGATAATGATTGACTTAATTGAAACATCACATCCTGAATTTGACTGATAATTGATGGAAATGCCTACTTTTGAAATTCGGTTTTTAATCTTAAGATAAAGAAGATAGAAAGGTAAGTACAGGAAAGAAGAATTGGTTACTACTATTGACCAACAAATTTTACCGAGTTTTTTACCGAATTGAAGCAAAATTTACCCAAGAACAGATAAATATTGGGGGGAGGCAGGGCCGGATTAAGGCTCTACGGGGCCCTTGGCCAAAAATGTTTTCGGGGCCCTACAACAGTAGAAATATGATGACGTCATAAAAATCAATTTCAGAATTTTTGGATTTTGTACAAATGATGAACCAAATGACATGAAAGAGCATTTGTCTGAGGGTCGGTTGGCTTTTCAAAATATTGCATCATATCCAGATGCGCAGTTAAAGTGAAGTTCGTTGATTTCACATCAGATGGCACTTTCCTATTATCTGGAACGTTCTTGGCACTTACGAGAATAAGCAAATCTCGAAAAAAAGACGAAAAAAAATTCAGAGAAAAAGGAGTCAAGCGAAGAGTGAAAATGAAACTCTGGTTAATATAGAATGTAAATTTTGCCTTCGCTGTAATGCGCATGCCCATATGATGCATTTTCTCGTTGGTTCAGAAAAATGGATAAAATAATAGCCCTAAACAATATGAATTTAGACTTGTCTCCCCAACAAATCATGAAAAGCTTCAAAATTTGAAAGTCAGCTAGATATTTTACAGGTTTTATGTGTTTTGACCACATCACTATAGGCTTATCTCTATCAAAGCACTTTATTTTGGTCCTGGTTCTAAAATGTATGCAATTGAATTTTCAAGTTTCATTGATTCTACAACATTAATTACAATAATAACACTTACAATACAAGAAGAAAACATTTATATATTCTTTGCAACTTTAGATGATGTGATGTAGGACACTGAGAATTGCCTTTAAGACACTGTAGGGTGTAAGACACTGTTCAGGTCCTCTAGGTGTTTTGAACCTGGGTGTTCTGCAGCAGTTAACAATCTAAGGCTTTACTGAAGCTTATCAGTACTTGAATTATTAGAATTATAGTACGGCAAGAAAGCAAAAACTAAAGATGCAAAAAATACAACGAAAAAGAATAATAACGCGAATAAGAAGACAGGATAAAGACGACACGATATTTTTGTTTTCAATGTTTAGTAAGACAAGAATGGAAGTTTTATTAGGAATTGGGAGTGCTATACTTTGTGTAGCAGGGGCGGCGCCAAGAAATTCAAAGCATTATTAGACTAAAAAACAAACTTTTGACAGTCACACTAAAATGCTTCACGATAATACATGCCTATAATTTTATGGGGCACTCGTTATGCGGTACATTGTAAAGGGCGACGCGAGGTGGTCGGAGGCCATAGGTACATCTGACAGAAAAGGCTTCCCTGCGTGCGCAGTGAGCAGAAAATTTTTGCAACCACGCTCTTTAGATTAGCTTAAAATGCATTTCAGAACATTTCTTGTAGCCATTTTTGCAGTCTTAAAATGGAATTTATTACTTTATGAGGCACTATAGACCACGACTATTCCTTGAGAAATAAAGCAATAAAATTTATTGCACTATTCTTTTCATTTTCTGTTTTCTTTGCAACGTATGTTTTTCCAAATTTTTACTCATTAAAGGAGATACTTTTCCAGAAGTCGTTTCTTGCGGTTGATAGGGGCAAAGATGTTGCTTTTGTGTCAAACATAAATTTTGCTCCTTCCATTCATGGCAGTCGTGGAAGTTCTGAAAATAAAGGACTTGAGTTGGCTTTACAATCTTTTAACCAAGCCAAATGAACAGAAATCCATTATCAAACTTGAAAAGGCCATTTGACATAAAATGGGCAACAGATTTAAATTGTTTTGCAGATCCAGATGTATTTTAACGTGTTCTTTCTGCTCGTGCATTCTAAATTGAAAAATTAAAAAATTGATTTATGTGATGCCATCATTTTGCGACTTTATTGCTGAAGTCTGGTTTTATTGTTTTAATTGTCAAACAACTAAATTTTGCCCACATTGCAGATTTTGTGAATATATATTCCGTGCACGGCACAAAGTTTCCAATCTTGTGTCAAAGATGCTGCTTCTACGTCCTATTTCATTGATGCTATCATTGTGGATCAAAAGATTTACCTTGTAAGCGCGGGGCCCTAATAACTGCAAAGCCCCAGGCCATGACCTATTTGGCCTTTGGGATAATCCGGCCCTGGGGGAGGTATCGCACCCAGACACCCCCGTTAAATTCGTTCCTGTCTACATGTTATTTAAAGGAACAAAGACATCATTAGAATGGGGATTTAGGCAAGCGCTTTTTCACGTAAATTTTTCTCTTCAAAAACATTTTCACAATCATCGAAGTCTTATCATATTTTCATACTAAATTAGAATAATTTCCAGGAAATTGCCAGCACTTGAAAGAGCTTATAATATTGCAAGAAGCTTACAATGTGCATATTGGCCTTAGACAGTTACTTAAGTATGCATAATGCCTAATCAACGATTAGCTTTTTTTGATAACTTTTTTTCTCACGTCAAAGTAAACAGACAGGAATCCAGCATATGCCAGAATTTTTAATCTTAAGTTTTGTGCAAAATTGTTAATAAGCAGTCAAATATATCATTTTTGCAAATCTAAATGATTATCTAGTGAGAAGCAAAGACAAACTCACAAGCCCAAGAGATACCGTTAACAAACTGGAGACATGATACCCAGAGATAGCCTGTGCTCCAGACCCTTAACCTGAAGGAGGAGTCTCTTCCTTCAGGTTAAGGGTCTGGAGCACAGGCTACCCAGAGACTGCAAGGGAAAACGAAGCCTTTGATACAGAATAGCTCTTGTTATACATTTCAGTGAAGCTAAAAGCTTGACCCCAAGCTGAAGCCACCAAAGTTAAGGTTCGAGAAGTGACAGGATATAGTGACAGGTTGGGAGCAATTTCCAAAGGTCTGCTGGTACTTAAACTGTCTCTATTAAAAAACAATTCTTACTCTCGAGTATCGAATAATGTCCCCCTCCCGGTGTGGCTCTCGGTGGCCTTGGACAGAAACCCTTCTACCAGTTGGGGTCGATTGAAAACGAAAAAAGACAGAAAAGCGGAGCCTTTTTGCATTAGTCAGGAAGAAAAGACAAATCCGTTTTATTTAAACATACAAATATTTTACGCATATGACGTCTGAAACTTGAGTCACATTGAGCAGCATGCTTCACTTCAATCGCGATGCAATCAAGTACGTCATTCAACGCCCCCTTCCTTCGGGCTGACTTGGTTGTCAGGATGCAGATAGATGCTGAAAACTAGATCCAAGCCCCCAAACAGCGCGCCGTCTTGCTGCTGTTGTTGGTGAACCGAAGAAGGCCTGTTTGAACCGAAGAAGGGAAATTCAGCCGAAAAGCTTTTCTTTTGAAGGAGGATCACCGTAACTTTTCAGACATCGTTTTCGACTGAAATTATTTGGGACCAAGCCAAGTAGAAATTCATGGGCGTGTCAGCCAGGGGGTTCCTGAGATAGCGATCAATTATACTAGGAAAGCCCGTATTTCGAAATCACTCTCCATGCAGAAAGTTTTTTCACAACATTGCACCAAGGGAGCTGAAGTAAAATTCTGCATTTTATTATTTCATGCAGAGAATAACGACATTTTACTGAAAATAGTGCATCGAAAAAGGATTCTTCATTCGAATGGAAGCTTGTGTCGAAAATATGACGAGGAAGGCTGAATTTTGAAAGGGAATTTGGTGACTTCAGCAACTTCGTTGTTCAACGTCGAGGTGATAGTTTATCATTACAACGCAACTCGAGTACTTAAATTTGACTGTTAAACGTGGAATCGACGAAGTAAATTTTGCTAACAAGAATCTTAAAGCCGAAATTGCCACATCCTAAACTCGTTCGTTTGGTCTATGATCAAAGACAAGAAGATCAAAAAAATTCTCACAATCCTCAAATTTTATTTTTTATCGCAATTAATACAGCGGGAGTGAAAGAAAATTGATTTTCGCAGTTTTATTCATTACATGTTTTATTATCTCTTAGACTTATGGCAAACGCACAATCTTCAGACAACCCCCATACGGCAGTAATCAAGGATTATGTTGCATACAAGTTAAGATGTCACGATCTCCATATTCCAGGATACAATCAGGAACCCAGTTCTCTGTCTGAGCCTTGCAAAACTCTGCGGCGAGTTGCCGAAGAACTTGAATCAAGTAATAAGGAACTTTTTGATAATATGTGCGCACAGCTGAGCATAACTCCCAACACGGCCTATCCGACTTTTCAAGGAATAGCAGATGAGATATTCGAGTCTGGAAAAAACTGGGGGCGAATTGTTGCATTTATTTGTTTTGGGGCAAATTTAGCAGTTTATTGTGCCAGTCGCGACGAATTAGGCCCCCAGTACGTTGACAATATTATCAATTGGGTTTCGAGATATATGACAGCAAGACTGGATAACTGGTTAATAGCTCACGAGTCATGGGTAAGTCACAAATTATTGTCATTCATATATGTATATCATATATAATTTTGCTTTTAGCTAGAATTCCATTTTCACTTCTTCAACAATTGTAAAATTTAGCACTGTGTCAAAGAGTTATTTTTCATCAGAGCTGTAAGCATTATGGTGACCTAAACTAGATCATACTAAGCATCACTCTGGCAACAATTCGCATGATTAAAATTCCTAGAATACCCAAACGCTGTTTATTCATATTTTTTTGGAAAAAAACATATCAGTTCAGTTTTATTGATAGGAAATATTTATGTTGGTTACAAAAAGGTCCTTTAAACTACTAGAAACACTGTTTTCCCTGTTTTAAAAAGCCTTTGCCAAATTTTTACCAAATTCCCAGAGGACTCAATTCTCAAAACCAATTGGACTGTGGCAGTAATTCGTTTTACAGTTGGGGCCAATGCCCACAAAAACAAGCTAATTTGCTGACAAATGATATAATTTACTGACAAAAGCATGTCTTAACTGAAAATTTAGTAAAACCTGGGGAGACTTGCCCCAACACCCCCACAATTTCCACCACTTAAGTTTGGGTTAGTTTTATAAACTACCTGTACTTGACTTTAGAGTTGAAATTATAGTCCCATTTTACTGGTGAGATGGTTTCTTGCAATTTAATCTCCTTTGATGCCAGGGAATCTGGAAAGCTAATTTGAAAATCACACCGTTTCTTGAGTTTTCATCTACTGCATTTTTAATTAGAAGTGTTTGGGTACCAGTTCCCTCATAATGCAAGTACCTTTGCAGGTAGTTGAATGTATAAAACTGACCAATATGGCGTAGCCTGTAGTTAAGATCCTAATTTTACTTTTCAGCAGTGTTGAAGGGCATATTAAAATTTGATACTAGAAGATCCAAACTTTTTATTACATTACTTGGAGAAGTTACAATGTTATTTGCAAGTCTTATAATGGAAACTTTTCATTTTGAATTCCAGTTAAAACTACAATTACAAATCTCACTATTACAGGGTAATTTGTAACTGGCTAGCCTGTTTTTACAAAATAAGACTATTACAATCGTAGTAAAGAGAAAAATAATGATAATAATAATAATAATAATAATCGAATGTTTTAACAGGATAACCTATCAGTACAATATATACTGTTATCATTAGGGTCCTGATACTTAATGAATTAATGGTAAAAGATCTAAAAACTGATTACAAGAGTTCAATACAGTCCAATCTAAAGGTTAAATAATTTTACATCAAATAAAATGAGTTTCTAAAAATCATCTAAAAATAGTTCTAGATTCAATTTTTCTGGCACTTAGTGGCAAGTCATTAAATGCCTGATAGTAAGAACCTTTGCGTCCAAATTCTGTTTTCATTTGAGGCAACTTGACTTGATGTTTGTCGTTTCTAGTATTTTCCCATGAGCATTTATAACAAAGTAATCTTTCATTGCATCACAGACCATTTCTTATAGTAAAAAGCAGGGCTATGATGTCATGTTCTCCCTTTGGCATGACCCTAAAGAATATAAGACACCACAGATGTTGCGACTCTTGCTTGAAATGGTTTAGAATGTTTGCTAGTAAGTACAGTTAGGCTCAAGTTTTGCCAGATCTTCACAAAACCAGGAAAAACAATGATAAATTTCTGAACATGGATATATGCTTTGTCAAGGACTCGAATCAAGGCATTGAAGCCCATTTCTATTTGTAATAGAATGTTTTGAACTTAGAAGTCCCCAAGTCTTAAAAATAGTTTTATATTATTTTTGGTGTGTAAAGAAATAAGGAAATGAATGGGCAAATATATCGAATGGGAGTAACACAAAACAGTTTAATAAGGAGGGCAAGTCTGAACAAGCAGAGCATTATCACATATTTCATTGGATACTGAGGTTTAAGTATTGAGGTTATTCTAACATGTTAGACATAAAGTATATGAAATATATAGCTAAAAGCTCCCTAACCCTTCCCTAGTATCACCTGTATATTAGATAAAGGAATTCTGCTCCCAATTCATAGCAATTAAAATTTCTTCATAAAATCCAAGACTCTTTGTATGTCAAAAGTTATCCCCCTTCTCTATAGTTTATACCATTTTTGTTATACCTGGCAACTTTTCTTATTTGAGTTTGATGAATTCTTGCAGATTTGCACTAGGCATCTTATGGTGCAAGCAATTTTCAGTTTTCTCTTGACACCACAATTTTCATGACATTCTTTGTTCACCCAGTTTTTCAGTTAGAATGAAACTAGTGTGATGAAAATCCATTTTAGGGACTTTCCCCCAAATATATTCTGAAATACTGGCTGGATATTTCATCTCATTTTCCACACCATGCGCTGAATTCTGTGTTCTAATATCATTAAGGAAACATGCTAGGCGAGTATAAAAGCTTGGTTCCCACCATGCAGTAGAAGTTTGAACAAAACTTTGATCTATAACTGGCAATGGGATGAAGAGAATTTCCCAGGATTACCTTTCATGACCAATGAACAGGTGGCTGTGGGAGAAAGATAACAACAGGTTTCTGAATTGTTTGACTGTGTGAATTTTTAGAAAATTGAAGTTTTAACCATTTGTGAGCTTTGTTTCACAAGGCAGGTTTACCCTGTCGGCCTCCATGTGGCGCAATTTTAAAAGCCATATGTATGAATGCTTTTTGTCGCTTCCTAATATAGATCAGCTACAGGTGTCATTTTTCTGCTTGTAGTTGTTATAACTTGCATTACATTTGAATTGGTATTTAATCTGGGTTGAATACCAATCCAGTCTACTGGAAACAACCTGTATTCCTTCTACCTGCTGAAGCATCTGCATTTTCTTTCCTCTAGATCAGTGGTTTCCTTCAATCTACTCAAGTCAAGGGGTTAAAAAACAAACCATCATGGTCACATTAGAGACTTTATTTCATTATGCAGAGAGGCATTTAAAATCCATTTGAAGAACTGTTTTCAATAATTCTCCATAGGCTCTTCTAGAGCAGGCAAAGGCTCCATTGCCTTCCACTTTTTGATAGCAAAACTTTCTTTTCATCCCCCCCCCCCCAAGTTTGCAAGGCATTCCCCATGATATGCAAGCTCACTTTAACTACCTCCCTCTTCAAATTTTCACAGGTATCAACTCTTCAAATTTACTGATATCAGGCACCACAGAGAAGGGACTGAGGGTACATGAAAAGAAATGAACCACCTGTCAAGCCTGTTTTTATTCGGTTTTAGTCCCCCCCCCCACCACTTTTTTAGACTCCCACTTTTCACAGCGCTCTGCGTAGCTGGATGTGTATCCATATACAAATTCTATCTAGTGTTGTAGTGACTATCCCACCACCCCCCTCCCATATGTAACAATCTTTCCTTGCCATTGCCCGCAAAATGTCAATTTCGAACTAGCCTGTGGGAAAAATGAATACGTCCTGAAAAAGCATTACATTGTGCGGCTGTTTATCTCCATTTCACAATAGCGAATGCGTCATCGAAATGCCCAATTGCCTGGGAACGAGGAAATTTTTGTAGGCACGTGATAGCTTTAGCATTCTTAGAATGGCTAACGGCGTCATATTCACATCACGAGAATCGGGAATGCAGTCCCGACATCATGCAAGGAAACCACATGATAAGATACCGAACAAGGCTGGGCCGCATAATAAGAATTCTTATTCTGTGACTAACTGAGCAGTAACCAGCCAATTCATTCCGCAGATTGGGGCGTAAAGCCGAATTACTAAATCCACACCGCGACCCTGCTGTAGAGAGGTGTAAAGTGGGGGCTCTCAGGGGGGCGCTCAGGGAGGCTGAACTGCCCATGTAAGTGCAAAAAAATTGCCCCTTTCTTCGAGAGGGCTCCCATTGTATTGTAATCTTCAAAGAAGAAACCCATAAGAGGAGACTGCCGTGAAACGGCATCAAGTTGTGCAACATGTGACCCCTAGAACCAAATTTGACCGTAACGGGGTTAAAGCCTAGGTGTAACCTAGATGATTGTCCCATTGATGGCCACTTCTAAGGCTGGACGAGTTGTTCACATCTGTGTGTCCCCGAAAGGTTTCCTTACCGGTTCACTGCCTACCCGAAGATTTGCCTCATTTTTGGCTGAAATTCTGAACAAGATTAAACCGTTTTCCCCTTTTTCCAGCACAGGTATGCCGATTGAAAACAGCCTGTGTTCCAGACCCCCTAACTGCAAAGTAGACACAGGCAAATTGAAGATATAATTATTTCAGGTGTCATGTTTTCAAAATTTCAGGACAGGTATCATGTTTTCAGAATTTCAGGACAGGTACCTTGTTTTTTGGAATTTAAATTCAGGACAGGGTCATTAAACGTTTTCTGGCAGGCTCAACCCATCATTTTTCTCCAAGGTAGACCCTAGGGCTTCCATAGCAAGGAGAGGTGTGTTTTCTTGCTTGCCTGAGCCAAGAGTTCATTTGATCCCGGCATACCAAGCATTAAACAAATACTGTTTTTATCGTCGTTGGTTTCACTGTGGAGGGCCTTCGAGAGCATGCGCAGGCCATGGGCGGAACGAGACGAACGAGCGAAAATCACCGAATGAGTGAAACAACTCTAGTCGTTAAAAGAACATCCATAATAATAATGATTGGGTTTCGGGAGTTCTTTGAGTCATGGAGTTATTACCCTAGCTCAGTGGTGGCGCAAAAGATTAGTGACGGAAGGGTTTGACCTTGCGACAAGGGGGAGGGGGCTAGGTTGAGCCTGCCAAATCGGAGCGCAAATCAGAAAATTCAGAGCCAAGTGATTCACAAGAAAAGTTTTATTGATAGAAAGTTTATTTATTTTCCGCAAGGTTTTACTGTATTCTTAACGGTTCAACTTTGGGGAGAGGGTGGGGCGATCACAATCAAAGTCTTAGTAGCCCTAAGGGATTTTTCATTGGCCCTTATACCATTTGTTGGTAAGTCCCTGGATTATTTTTATTTAATATTGCACAGTATTGCAATAGTTCTGCTAACATGATACTAAGGTGCTGGAGGTGATACAAAAATACAATTATAAGTTTTTCTGGTTTAAAAGTGGAAGTTGTGCCACAATACACCTCATAGAGTAAGATTACGCTTTTGTGGTGATATGGGAGTCCAAGTATTATTTCCAACACTAAACCGTTTGACTTGCCCTCGTCCACAGTAGTCACAAACTTAGTAGGACTGAGATGAAGTAAAGACTGTCAAGTCAATACTGCTATGGATTTCACCGCTTTTGGAAACCGCCATGTTAAAGGCATAAGCACTTAGCTAGATATATATGTTGAGTGCTGTTCTACAGACTCCAGCAACTGCTTCAAGAGAAATTGATATAATAAAATAAGAAACAAGCGACACTGCAATGTGTATCGAGATATTCGAAGGACAAGGGTGGGTTATGTTGCCTATTCGTTCTACATTTACTCCGTGTGTGATAAATGGCTTGTTACCAGGGCCCTCCAGAAGTAGTTTTTATTGATTTCTACGTTACATTGTGTTATTCATTATTTGGGATCCATGCTTGAATAAAATTGTGTTTATTTTGAATATAAAGGCAAGCCTGAACTAGAAACAGTTGGCAAACTGATCCCGGATGGTTTGCTTCTTATGTTCTGTTTATGATTTTGACTAGTCGCGTGCAGATCTTTGCTTGTCAGTGTACATGGCTGTGTGGAATCCACAGTTTCAGTTTTCACTAAAAATACACGAAAATTCTAGCGTCGCATAATGAGCAAAGTCGCTTTACGTTATGATACAAATGGCCGTTCAGCCTCCCCATTTCATTAGAATGCCCTGCTCATCTCCACATTTGTTCTCCACCCTTTGAGGGAGATATTAAATCTGCTTCCCTCTTCCCCCTCTCCCCTCTTCCCTCCCAATATCGAAATGCTTTCCTTCATATCGAAATGCTTTTTGAATTACTTGCTTGAAGTGTACGCTAAAAGCAATGAGGAAAGGAGGCATCCTGCCTGATTTTGCTTTAGAGCAGGCAAGTGCCTTCTTTAGCAGGCACTTCCCTTGTGCGCTCTTGTGCGCTCATGAATAGTATTGACCATACACGATTCGCCTACGGGGTAAAACTCTTCAGATGCCTGGAAACTTTCCTTCATCTTTCCTTGTGGAAACACTTAATACTAGGGTTGCTGTCGAGTTTCTCTGCAGGGCTGTTTGATTAACCGATGTTTCATTCTTTTGTAGGATGGATTTGTTGAATTCTTCAAGAAAAGAGATGCGTCGAACGAAGCTTCAAAGCATGGTCTCGTTTTGTCAACCCTGGCTGGCCTCGGAATTGGCGCATTACTTATGCTATCTTGCAAATAACCATGGCAACTTATCCCTAGGGGACAACTTGAATACGCGATTTAGGGATGTCTTTGCCCTCTTTAGTAACCTTACACATTGCCCCATTAGGCCTGAAGCGACAAAACCATTCATATTGGTTAGTTTTCTTAAAATTTCATTATTTCCTATACTTAAATAACCGACTTGATTAACCGGTCTTGTGATTGTATTCCCATCAAAAAATTTAGCAAAGGCATTTCCTTTTTTAAATGAGAATAAATCGAGTATTCAAGTTGTCTCCTAGGATATTTTTTATTTGTTTTGGTGTTGTCTGCAAATCATGGGGAATAACACTATAAAGGGGATTTCCCCTGGGAATATGTCCAATCATCGATGAGGTAACCCTTGAAGATTGGGCGTAGTCTGCTAGGTCATGATATCTTGCACAGGAGATACCTTTCGCATGTCGAAGCAAGTAAACTGCATCGCCAAAATATCGTAACTGGTAATGTCGCTTTTGAGTGATATCTCACTATGCACTGTGTAGCGAGTATTGCTAGATCACTTGGTGCCGAATCATGGCATAATTTTAATTTGCTGCCAATATATCATGTGCAATTCCCACTTACAAATGTTACCGAAATCATTTTATGCACAAACGAGTAAATAATATAGACTTATTGATAGTGGGACCTATTTTTCTTTACCAGTCCTTCTAGAAGATGGTCAGAAGAGGTTTTACCATCGACTAAATAAATGCTCAGAAATGAGTTTTATTTTATTTAATTGCTGTACTCCAAAGCTATGAAATGCCCTATCTGATTAACCTTTTCATTGTTAGCCACGAGAAGCTTCAACCGGAGCCTCTTTAAATTATGCCTGTATCGGACAGGATTGTTTAAATCTTAATTTTCTTTCGTAACGCTCAGGTCAGTATCTTCAGCATGATATTTAAGAACAGTAATGGAGTTGAAGAGTGTGACGTAACTTTTTGGCTTTTTAATGGACCATCGCTTGTAATGTTCTTCGCCACTTGATATGGTATGATGCAGTAATTGTCATAATGATTTAACGTCTAAAAAATTAGTAGTTTATATTCTTTAAGTATATTTCGTCGACAAATAATCATAATGGCAATACAATTACAATTCTTTCCGGTTTCACCACAGTAATAGATGTACCATTATTTTATATCTTCCCATATAAAAGATGTATTAATATCTTCCACAGTATCAGATGTACCAGTTCATTGCGTCACTGACGTTTGATATCGTGTTCTTAGAATTAAGTTCATGTTTTCACTATATCTATTGTAAAATGGTTTTTTTAGGCAAGTTTTTTAGGCACGAGAGACTTCTCACAGCGTTGGGTAGACACTCATGTTGGTTACACGTACTTTCAGTTACAGTTCAATATTTCTACTTAGATGTGTAGTTTCTTACTCAATCGCACCTTGTATCGACTAAGTAGAACCATGCATACAATACTTGGGCGGGTGCTTTGGGTCGAGCCCCTTCAATAATTACAAAATGGATGTGGAGCTTCTTCTCCCCTCTCCACGGTTGTTTGGCATAATCGTAACTCGATATATTGAAACAAGTTTGAGCCATGTAAGGTATTCTTGGGATATTTTGCATGTACTGCTTTGTCTTTAGCTTCTTTTCTTCCAGGTATTTTTGTCGATCTTTTATTTAATTGACCCTTTGATATTGTTTTGTCGTTTCGACATAACACTGGGAATGGTTCAGCTGAGTTGATTTGATTCTAATTTGGGATTCAGGCTTAAGTATTTTTTATGTTAAAGAGCTGTATGATACATTGTTCGGTTCTAACTGCATTTAATTTGTAATGGAATCTTTAAAAGCAGGCATTGAAGTTAGCCTTTTAGTCATTTAAGACTTTACCTTGCAATTGAATCAGGATTTTCGTTTGTTTGTAAACGGCTCAGCACCTGTTGACCATTGCAGTACCGCAAACAGGGTTGTTCCCCCCAGCCCCTCGGAGATGGGAATTTGAAAAGTGTTGTACTAGACTTTTTTGCACTGCTTTTGTAAAAAAGTTAAGCATGCTTGTTATAGCTTTTGATGAGCACGAGAATATAGGCATCCCATGCATGGCAAGAAATTGGCAATGATAGAGCGCTTTCTGAGCTCCCCAAACCCATGCACCTCCTCTGCCCATGCTACTACTTGGAAGCGTGTGTTCAATTTAATTTTACAACAAACCCAACGATTTTATATGCGATTGGTGCTGGGCGTTAATCGAAACTTGGTTTGAAGGTCGTGGTATTTACGTCGTAATGTTGTAGTATTTTTTAGTATGTTATAACTTTGGCAAGCCCGTAGCTAGGCCTGTGGAGTAGGGGTGGCAGATCCCCAGACCTGTTGCAAGACCCCCAGACGTTTCAGCAAGTCTTTTTTTAGTTTCACTTAGCAGCGAAAAATGTTTTGAGCGTCAGGCACCATCTTAAGAGGCTCCAATAAACATAATATATGGGTAATATATGGATAATAAGAGATGCAAATAAACAATTCTCTTGCTCCAGGGGTAGCATTGCCACCCCCCTGCGCCCCTTTGGCTACGGGCCTGAACTTTGGTACATTTTGCAATGTTAAGAAGCATAGCAGGGCTATAGGCAAGATTAGAAGATTGAGGGTGCAGTTGTTTTCAATCAACTGAAATCAAAGGTAATTTTGCAGACAAATTAAAATAATTGTGATGTAAGTGTATGGAAAACTAAAGGTTGGCGATTGTTTGGGTGACAGCTGCCCCTTGGCCCGCTTACCAGTGTGTATGGGCTGCATAATCAGCTGTTTTGTTGAATATATACGTTGCCACCCACTTCAGGCGTTGAAGCAGTTATGTTAATGTATTAACTGTAAAGCTTACGTTAACAGTCACGCAAGTAATTTATAATCAACATTTTTACACACCCATGTGCTACCGTTTAGTTGTTGATTGTTTGAATTGCGCAAATCGTAGGTTTTAGTGCATTTGTTATTTCGATAGTTACTGATATGAGAAGTCTAAGGGGACATCGTTGTAGTTTTTGAGCTAAGATGAGTCTCTTTGTTTATTACAATCACAAAAAAGGTTGAAATTGCGAAGGCACCGGAAGAGTAGTTTTCTTCATTTATCTTATAGACAGGGAATTTTACATAACAATCTAGCAAACTGGGTAAACGAAGTTTTCAAAGTGTAAATCATAAGAGTAAAAGCCACTGATCATTTCAAGCCCTGGGAACATTCTGGCAAATGACCGGAAGTTGCGTTTTCGGAAGGATGAAAAATGCACGGTCAGCAAAATTTCAACTTTTGAATTTTTCAAATCTGATGATACCACCAGAAAGAGCTTGCAAAACGGAACAAAAGGTATAAAAAGAACACTGTGATCTGACCTATAAACAAAAAGTTATGGCTGTTGAAACTTTTCGTTTTGGCAAACAACTTGCTTTCTCGAGTTTCCTGATAGTGCAGACGCATAGCAGTAGAATTGTGCATGTTATATAATAGCATGAAGTTCGGTACAAGTACACAATCCGATATGCTGAATAAGATGAAATTCATATCAAGCTTCAAAATGCCCCCAAAAGCTATTTTTGGACTGGGGTACTGTTACCCAGTCCTCTTTTAGGTATAGTGCTACAATGTTCTTAACTTTGCAAGTTATAACGCTAAAACTTTTTCTGGCGTTATTTGACGTGCTGGATAAAATGAGATGCAAAACAGCTTTAAAAATTCCACAAAAGCAATTTTTAAACTATGGTTCTTGTACCCAATCCCATATGGGGTCTTGCACTGTAACTTTGTAACTATTCAAGTTGTATAACTGAAATTTGGTTTCCTAACGTAATCTGAAGTGCTAGATAAAGTGAAATGTAGACCTAGATTTAAAACTTCACCTAAGGCTTTATTTAGACTGAGGTATTTATACCTAGTCCACTGCTAGTTAAGTTTTGCTTTCTTCAAATTGCGGAGAAAGAAACTGAAGTTGATTTGACGCATACTGATGAAGTAGCAAATAGCGTATTGGCCCTAAATGATCATGATAAAATGATTTTTACTCTTCACAAATCCTCAAATTGGTCATTGGGAATGCCAATGACCAATTTTTGGTTGCTGAAAGGCAAGGCCAAAATCATAGGATCACACCACAAAAATACGTTGCAAAAACAGCCCGCGCCACCGGGGGAAAGGCGGGGTAGACATGGCCCCCACTTGCGAAGCCAGTAGTTTTAAAGCTGTAGTATAAGAGGTAATAGGGCTTGGCCCCCTACTTTTTTAGCCTTGGTCCTCCACTTTCAAATTCGTGGCGCGGGCCCTGCTGAAAATGTTACCACTCCCCCAACATTTTCTTATCAAATATGTCCTCCCCAGTTCTCCCCGTGGTGCCGTTACTGCAGCACTTCAATAATCATCAGAGGAGTCACAATTGGAGGGGGGCTGGTAAGTCTAGAGTGGGTTAGAACTTGCAAAAAGAAGCATTGTTCCAAAGTTTGGTCAAAGCCGCAACCATGGTTAGCGACAAGAAAAACTTTGAAAATTTGACATTCTAGGGATGACCGAAAAATGAATCTAGTCTATTAACAGAGTCGATTTAGAGCCAAGGAAAGTCTCAGCCAATATTCGTGAACTTGTTACTATAATCATGCTCTATAATTGTGGCTTAAATTTTACATGACGTTTAAAAAGGTCTTAGAAGAAACTTTAAAGCGCAAAAATTTGAAAAAATTTAACCAATCAATCAATCAATCAATCAATCAATCAATCAATCAATCAATCAATCAATCAATCAATCAATCAATCAATCAATCAAAAACTTTATTAATGTGTCAAAAAATATTTAGCTTGCAAGCTAATCGGGGACTACCCTGGGTACCAGACTCACTATATAAAATAATAGAGAGTCTGGTATCCAGGGTAATCGGGGACTCAACGAAAAAGTATATAAAGTTAAATTAGAGCATAAAATATGTAATTACAGTATAATTATTAAAACATAAAAATTTCTAAAAATCCTGTGTACGGCTAAACTAAAGTCTGCAATCTAAAAGAGTTTCTATGTTTATTCTTCTTATACATCTTTTGAATAAGTTTATTGTTGGCACCTTCTTGGTAGCTCTCTTTAATTTGCTCCGCAGATATGGGCCAAAGTATCTTACTGAATGTTTTCCTTCTTTTACGGTACGAAATTTCGGAATTACAAAGTTGCTGTTTCTTAATTCATAAGGATAAGGAGTTTCTTTAATTGCAAACATGTCTTTTATAAAATGTGGGGCTATGCCGTTTTTTACTTTATACATAAGTATGGCAATGTCCTGAAGTCGCCTATTCTGGAGAAATGGCAGGTTTGCTTTCATAAGGAGTTGAGCATATGGCGTAGGCTTATCATTATAAACAACTCTAAAGGATTTCACTTGTAGTCTCTCTATCTTTCTTTTATCTGCTACTTTGCAGAAGTGCCAGACTCTACTGCAATATGTTAAGTGAGGGATAATGGCCGACTTGTAGATTGTTTCGCATTGGTAGGTATTATATTACGAAATCTAGATAAGATACCTATTCTCTGACTCACTCTCTTGCAAAAATTGCTGATATGAGTGCCAAAAGTTAGCTCATCGTCAACCTCAACACCAAGCAGCTTAAGACATCTTGTTTGTTCTGCTTCATTGTTTTCATCAGCCATCACTTTTATCTTTATATTGCTTTTCTTGCTATTTTGAATCACCATCGCTTGGTATTTGTTTTTGTTTGCTTTCAGATTATTGTCCTTGTACCATTGTGAGGCCGTCTTGATGTCTTTATTCAAACGCATCTCAACTTCATTACCGTTGTCTCCGAAATAATAGATCTGATGATCGTCGGCATACATGCTTATCTGAGAGTGCATTATTTTGAAAACCAAGTCAGTTTCACTTCCTCTTTATTCATGGCCATCGCTTGAACTCGGTATTTGAAGCATCAATAATCTTGCACCTAATATTGCTATATTATTTGGGAATATTGGGCAGAGTACTAGGTTTCGATTCCGAGCTAACTGCGTCATTACTCATCACTCATCCCCAGGCTTCCTGTCTAGCTGTTGTCTGAAACAAACGGATGGTTGGAGAAGGCAGCGAGTGGGCTGAAATGTTTCTGATCTATTTTTGACATTTATTTTGGCAAAGATATATAACCACCTGAACGAAATATGGCAGAAGCAAGGGTACGTAGTAAGACATCAGGATTGGTGGAAAAGCAAGTGGAAAAAGACGGCGAATGTTCGAAGCAAGGTGGAGAAGTTTTCAAGCAGTTTTTGTATGAAAGAGTAGGGAGCGATTCAAAAGAAGAAGCAAACAAGGAAGACACGAGCGTCAGTGAGATTCCAAAATCCGTTCCTAGCCAAATTGTACATGAATTTTCCGACAAGCGTGCATTGACAGAGGAGCAAAAGCTTGGAAGGGTAAGCAATCAACGGTATTTCCTTCTCAGGTGCGGCCGATAGGCCTAAAAGCTAGGCCCTCGCGTCTTTGTAGCTAGGGTCTTTATGGGAGCAAGTTTTTGACTTTCTTTAACGGCTTGTTTAAGCTATTTGTCCAGCTGATTACATCATTTTGCCAAACGTTCTTTAAGTGGAATTAACAGGCCTGGATTTAGGGACAAATGAGGTACTGTGTTTCAAGTAATGAGGCCCCTTACTTAGATCCTGAAAGGAGATAGCCTGATACATCATTACCTTCAATTTGAACAAATTTTGAAAAACGCAGGCTAAGATTTGGATGATTTTTTTGGAATTTGAAAGCAGACTGTATGTGCTGAATAGATCATAGATGAACATTTAACCTTGGAGTTTTCAAATGAGATTAAATGAATTTGTATTGACCACAAGAAGTCTATGTGCCTATACAAGTGCTGCATCAACATTAACACACATAAAGAACAGAAAACGCATGCAAAAAATAGAGATATGGGGAGCAAAGAATAAATTTCATATTTAAAAAGTAAGGTTACCAATATAGAGCAGCTTTTAAATTTGTTATGTCTGAGGAAATTAAGTAGATCAATCTCATTTTAGGTCAATAATATGACCCAAAGCTAATTTCATTGATAGAAATATATGTTAATGCATCTAAACAAGATTTTGCAAACGTTTTAGAAGGAAGATGTGGCCCAAAGGCCAACAGGGTCTTGTGCTTAAGCCCAACTTAGGATAATGGAAAATCTGACACTTGGAGAGATTATCAGTTACCAAGGAAAATATTTCATGCTTTCTGTTCTATTATCTGGGTTCTTCTAATTTATATATGTCAGATATAGAACCTAGTTTTCTAGAAGATTTGTATTTGCATGCAGACAATTTTTTGACAAAAACTAGCAAAATGCAAAATCTTAGTTTCTGCATTTCTAAGTGTTTTGTAGAATTCCCATGCTTGGAGGAGCTTCTGTGTCATTTGTGTGCCTTTCCTTCTTTTTCAAAGCTTATAAAAACATATTTAAGATTCACTATGAGCGAAGACTATCTTTTCAGGATGGCACTTTTTTCTATTGAACAAGAAGGAGCCCAAGGCAACCCTTTGGTCAAGGGGCAAAAATTTGTCACAGTGACTTTTAGTGCCCATATTGGTCAATCTCATGTAATGTCAAGACAACATATGAAATTCATATTTATTGTTCAATATTTGTTTTCATTTCAGATAATGTTCTGTTGTATTCCATTCTTAATGGTTTGTTGTCTACCATTTAAATGCCAACCTTAAGCATGCATTACATTTAAAGCAAGTTGTTAAATGTCAAAAATGTATTGTCAGCTGAAGGGGAACCTAGCTTTGATTCTTAAAGGACCCTTGATCACTAGTTGGCCTTTGTTTATGTAAAATTCATAAAGTTGGGTTTTGCATCCCTTCTAAAGTATTGCTCACATTTGAAGGCAGAAGCAAGAACACCTACTGAAGAACCACAAATGGCTGCAGGGCAAGAAACAAATGATGATGAATTTGCAAAGCAGACCAGAAATATTTTCAAGCATTTTATGTACAAAAGGCTAACAAGCCAAATAGAAGAAGATGCAAATGAAGGAGACATGAGCGTGGGTGAGATCCCAAGAACAGTTTTTAATCAAATAATACGGGAATCTGCTGATGAGGGGGCATCAACAGAGGAACAAAAGCTTGGAAGGGTGAGCAATCAACTGTTTTTCCCTTTCTGATGGAACCATCTTATGCTAGGTCCCTGCATCTTTGTAGCTAGGCTGCTTTATGATACAGTCATTTTATGCTGTTCAAATGAAGGTAACCATCTCTATGTTATGGCATGTTCTTGTGTTTATCACTTTTTGTAATGTTTAGTTAATTAATACCAGTGTACTTTTCAATATCATGGGTATGTCCATGTCCAATAACTATACCTCATCAGTTACTTCTTCTAGCTATTTTTAAAGCTTTGATAGTTTAAAAAGATATCCAGACTTTAAATCCTTGTATTGTCTTATTTCTGAAGTTCTGATTGTCTTATTTTCTAATGCTGGTATCTAGGGTAATAGGGAAAGTTCTACATGCTTCAGATGAAATAGGCTGAACAACCAGTCTGTAGATATAAGGTGCAATGTTATTATTAACTGCTCTGTTATAATTTCAAAGCACCTGGCTTGGCAGCCTTTAGTTAAATGTTTTCAGTACACAAATTATGTTAACACATTCTGCTCATCTCCTCTGAGATTGGCAACCTTGATGAAGCTTGGCTCTTTCCAAAAAACCATAACCCTAACAACCTCTCACAACTCAAGTTTCTGAGGCCATGTCCCACAGTCAGCCTTAAATTTTCAATAGGGAATGGATATTAGAAGTTCAAATTTCTGTTTGCTATGAAGCTATGTAAGTCTAAGTGGCCTTTTCCATGTAATGACCTTGGTTATAATCTGTTTTAGTCTATGAATTAATTATAAAATGTCAACATTATTTTTTTCTAGTTTGACTAAGTGTTTGTTGAAGGTGGTTGAGTGACAGATTTTTGTTTTAACTTTTGTCAATAGGTGCTGGTTGGCATGGCAGACAAACTTAATAAGAAGTACCATCATGAGTTTGTTGAGATGGCAGTTAGTCTTCGACTTACCCCAGATACAGCTTATAGTACATTTGCTAAGATAGCACAGAGACTCTTTCAAGATACCATAAATTGGGGAAGGATTGTAGCATTACTCTTATTTGGATACGAAATAGCAGTATCTGTAATAAAGAAAGGAATGGGAGGAATACGGAATTTCTTAAAGAAGATTGTTAACTTTGTTGTTACCTTCATTATCAAGGGACAAATTGGAAATTGGATAAGAGCACAGGGTGGTTGGGTATGTATTTCATGCTAACATTTGTGTCTAATCATGTAAAAACTTATTTTATTGAAATTGGGCTCAAAATTGCCAAAACTTCAGGATTAATTAAGTATGCATTATAAATTAATAATTCCACATCCATACCATCTGACACCACCATCGCCTATTTTAATTTGGTGCACTTTTTAGTCTGTTTACTTTTGCTTTTATGAACTAACTAACCATGTCTTACTAATTTTCTAACTATAGCCTGCGCAAGCCATGCTCAAGATGAATTTGTGAGGGCTTTTTCCCACCTGCACAGTTTTTCAAATCAACATTCTCATTTAACCCGCGCAGTTTAGCTTCCTAGTGTTTGTACTACCTACCGCTAAATATCAAGGTGTTAAACTATTGTATTATCTGATAATATGCAATGGAATATGAAATGTGTTCACACGAAAGGAATAACAAATAGTGTGATTAATGTTACAAATAATTAAAGTAACATTACAACATGCTGTCAAATGCAAAACAATTTATTTTCAATTCATGACATATAAACTAGGCATTCTCCAAAAAGCAAGCTTTGCTATATTCCAAAAAGTTTTTTCCTCTCTTGTCTCATCTTAAGGAGTGGAAATAGAAAATTTAATGGTTGTAATACACACAAATAGGCCTTCTTAAGGTGAATAATGTTTAAGGAATTTCCAAAGTAATGTATTTTTGCCTTTGTACTCAAATACTCAAATGTAAAAAATTAACCACAGTTCTGCAAGGGCTAATAGCCCACGCTGCCAAACAGCTTTTTATAGCCTGAGTTTTTTTTCAGAGAGGCTTGTTACTAACTAAGCTACTAACTAAACTAACTAATTAGCTAAATATTAAAACTTGTATGGCAACATTTATATCATTTCATTTACATAGTATGTGTTCTTTCGATGCTTGTTTTCTATTATAGTTACAACCAGATTTTGTTTGTTTGTTGCAAAATGTGATGTTTATTGATTTCATGAATTTGATTACTTTGTTTATGATTCACAGTAACTTTTTCACAACATTTAAGAAGCTGCCCTTGAAGATAAAATTGGATATGAATCTAAAATTACACAATAACTTTCTTTACTTAAATGTATTTTACGAAGGTTTTGTTCATCCAAGCAATTTGTAATTGTGTTAGCAACTGGATTAAATATAAAACCATTTTTTTTCAGCTGGCCATTATTGATCCCAGACATCACAATCAAGATATATGGCTAACAAGACTTGTTGTTGGATCTGCAATGGCAGCCATTGTTTATTTCTTTGTTCTTAAATTTGGTCCAAAAAACAGTTAGATTGCTAACAAAAATAATCCTTCTGTAGTACAGATTGCCACAAGACATTAAAATTTATGACAAAATATGCATTAGAAGTGCAAGTCATTAAGAAAGGAAAAATGTTGTTGGTGGCATCAAACAGGTAAGCAGTGAGAGCATTTCTGGGCCGCTTATAAGGAGAAAGTTTCTCTACTATTTATCCATCAATTTTCTCCCACTGGGGAATATTCAGAAATTTCCTCCATATGAAAAGGTCTTGGTATGAAAAAATGAAACACAATGTATCCACATTTGTGATAATTGAAATCCCAATAAGAGTTTAGGAACATTTTCTATCAATAGAGCTGTCAGGCAACTTACTATAGGGCATTTTTACATTCATAGTTGATTGTCAAGATAATCATGCTTTGTTACATAATGTTAAGAGAACTTAATTTATCAAGATAAAAGACTTAAGATAGCACTTTTGACACTTGTTTCTAAAAACTCTTATCAATCTGTGAGTGGTGGATTTTAAAAGTTACTTCAAGGGAAGCTAACTAATGAATTATTCTCATTAGCATGTCTAGAGTTACGTTTTGAAAGTAAATGTGATGTGTTCTAATGACATCATCATTATAACATTGTTGAAAACCTAACACAAGATTATTATTTTCGTACTATTTACATGATGTTTGACGTTATTTTCTTAGTGGTCATCTCTTTAATAAAAGTTCTATTTTGAGAATATATTAGCATCTGAATATAAAGACTGACAGGCAAGCATAGACCTTGAACAATTATAAGAATGGAAAGCTGTCTCTGATTTTTACTGACACATAGATCAAGATTTTCAACATGTATAATATATATGTATATTTATATACCTTTGAAACTACTGCATCATTAATTGGTGATACCCTTGTGATGCTCAGTAGTCGACAATTATTGAAATCCCAAATAGAACACAAAAGGGGGTACATGGTTGCAAACACAGCCTTATTGCTCTTAAATCTGTCTTGTTTTGTAACATTATTTATTTTCCTGTTTGTGGATTAAGGCACAAAAGATAATCAGAGCAAGGGAAAGTCCAATGTCATTTTTATTTACATGAGTATTCATCCCTTCTTTGGAAACAAGTCTTGTAAATTTGAGGGAAGCATCTCCTAAAGGTCGACCTGCATCTAGTACATCAAAAATTCCTAAAGTTTGTTCTCTGATGCTTAAAGACAGGTTTTCAGCAATTTTTGAGACCCTTCTCAAACCTTTCTGTCTCACTGACAGATACACCCTTTTTGCAAAATTGTGGTTAAACCTGTTAGGCTAGTTGCTTGTCTATAATCTCATCCAATGACTATTTTCAAACTATTCTGCAGAATTACTAGAACATTTGTAAAGAAATATTTTGAAGGCAGTCAGATAGTTAGAGGTGGTACTTACCATTTTGAGATTGATTTCTTAAAATTTAGTCAATCTTTACAATAAATTTTAAATGACCCTCATTTGCAAAATCCCTCTGTTTTTGCTCTTTTAAAGCCCATCCTTTGTTTTTCAAAACTCTATTTGAAGACCTTTTAGAGTTTTGATTTTATCTAGAAATATAAGGTACCCTTTCAAAAGTGTGCGAAGCAAACTAACAACAAACACATTTTAACATTGGATATATCAAAGTAATAGATTCTTCAGATGTACAAAACTGGTGCATATATGTTGGCGTAAAAAGTAATTGAGCACATCAGTGATATTTAGCTTTGGAGCTTATGAAAATCAATTATCTTTATTTGGACTATGACTTTCCCTTCCCTGTTTTAGGAGTTACAAGTGCTTTGCAAGTTATTGTATAGCTTAATTGCGACAGAGAGCTTTCTTTTCAAAAGTTGTATAAATACATTTATTAAAGTTCTCATTATATTTGAGTTTGATAGATTCTACTAACTTTGTTATGTTTTCTGTTTAAATTTTAATTGCAAAGAATCCTGCTTGTAATTTAAAAAGTCAATTAACAATGTTTGGCTTTTCCTCAATGATTTTCCTCTTTTTGTATAAGCAGAAGTGTGATAAAATAAAGAATAAAAAATCTGTCTGCAGCGGCAATGGGCAATGGTCTTATCACTTCATTTAACGATTGAAATTGATGGCATCAATGCCATGATTAAAGAATATGGTATATCAAGACAGCTGAGTCTTGAAATCCTATGCAGAGACTGTGTCTCAATGCCTTTTATGCTTCTAAAATTCCAGCTTCCAACCATGTTGCTAAAGGCTTTATCTTCAATTTTGATTTCTCAATAAACAAAAAGCATTATATTAAGTTGTTTTTGACAAGGTCATCATAAGATTATATCTTTGAGCAACTTTTGAAATACATTAATTGACAAGTGAAAAGGAAAAATGTCAAAGATAAACAATCTGGATTAAAAGGTGGAAGCGCTGCTTGCAAGAAAGTTTTAAATCAGTAAATATCATTTTGAACAAAGCATATTGTACTTTATAGTACTCTCAACAATTATGGACACAGACAGTATTTTGAATGACTATATGTGACATTTTGACTTTTATTCAGATTCTTTAGGTTGTTTACTCAGCCTCATATTAAAATTAATGTTTTTCTTAAGATAATTAATCCTTCAATGTTAAAAGGAAATCCAAGTCATCAAATGTGAAATTATTACTACAGTAGGAAACCGTTATCATCAAACCAGGTGCTGAAAACTGTAAACAGAGTAAAATTAAGATATTGCACGGTTGGGTTTAAATTTTGTGTAGAGTTGAATGTAATTGCAAAAAATATCACAAAGAAAATGCTGTTTGAATCCAAAATCGTTTTAACTTGCAAAAGTAAATGTTTACTGCAAATTGAACTTGCCAAATATGAATGTGCGAATCTAAATATAATGTACATTTTAATGAAGTTTTCTTGTTGTATATTTGTTTTCATTTAGGTTTCAGAATTTTACTTGAATTACAACAAGACATATTTAGCAGGGACGACAATCATGTTTTCCTTCTGAATGTAATAATAAACAGCTTCTAAAAAAGAATGGTTTTCGTTACTATATTTTTCATCTGAGTGCAAACCACAAACAACTTGTTTCCAGAATATTAAGCATTCAACAGCTTTAAGATATCCATCACATCTTGTATGCAACTTATTTCCAAATGAAATAAGTGATGAAAAGTGATGAAATCAAGCAATTTGGACAAAAAGCATACTTAAACAATGAAAGTGGTTTTCCAGCACGGAATGAGTACAACTGTTTAGCAGCAAATAGTAGAGCAAAATTTTCAGAATTTGCTTTTTCAAAAGTACAAAGTAAAATTACATTATTCGATCCTTAAACTATGCCTGGTGGTGTCTGTAGATAAAAGCTTTTAGTTGATATATTGCCATGCCATATAGCCGATGTACGATGTTACAATTCCAGAAATAGAGGATGATAGAAGATTGATCAAATGGTTATCAAGTATGTTTTTTCCACAAATGTGTTTCACAGTGCTTGATGGCTTGCTGACAACCTTCTTTTGTTCTTCACAGAAGCCTGAATATTGTAAAGTTGCTCCCAAAACAGAATCAATAAAGCTACCAAAGAGCCCTGCAAAACCACCAAGAAGAATAACTGGCCATTGGGCAGGGTAATCTGCTGTAAAACTGTTGATGAATCCTAGTACCAAAATAGAAATGTAGTAAACTAGGCCAATAAAAAGGCCACCAATCAGACTGGCAGTGGTACCAACAAAAGACACTGCACCATTTGTTCCAACTGGGACCCTTTTTAGTGTAGTTATTAGCCTGGGTGTCTTAGAGCCTACTGCAATACCAATTTCACTTGACCAGGTATCACCATTGCAACAAGCTATTGCACCTAAAACTGCCATACTGAGACAAGATGCCGGGAAATCTCTAGCATAATTCACTGGTCGGTCTTTGTACCCAACCTCCATTAAATAGATTATACATAAAGCGGATGGAAAACCACCATTACATAAGACTTGAAGCCAGTTTCTTTGTCCCCCTAAAAAGGAAAATAAAAATGAGCCAAGATTTATCATTCTCCAGATTTTCTATTCTAAAAATGCCTCAAATATTTAATTCAAAGGTGAATTACCAATTAAATTGTTGGGTAAACTGTTTATGTAAGCAACCCACAAAGACATTATGGACAATTGCTCTGTTGGAAATTACAGACAACTTTTGGTAGTAAACAATTTAAAAACAGCTTTCTTGAAAAGAGCAAAATGCTTTTCATCTTACACTCTTTAAATCATGAAAAATCAAAATAATTATCAAAAATTCTAAGGTAGGAAATAAATGTATGCAGCTGGAGGTTAGAATAGGTAAATCGGAAATGCAGGCACATTACAATTAAGGTTGCCTGGTCTGTGCCGCTTGCCCGTAGAAAATATTACCAAATTGAGTCCTAGGGTGATAACCATTTTCATTTGTTTACACAGTAACAGTTTGTTTCAATTTCATACCGTAGATCAGCTAAAAAACCGCTATATGAAAAGACAACTGGGCAGATTCTCTAAATCTGCACGACTTAAAAAGAGTTGCTTATCATGAAACCTAATACCATTTACCGCTGTTCATTTAATGATTCTGATAATGATTCACAAGAACTGGATTTTGAATATTGTCACAACCGTTCGTGACTAAATAGCTTTGCTTTTTAAATCCCACTTAGCATTAATTTTTCTTTGTGATATTGTTTTGGGACTTCCATTAACAATATATTTTTTAATTCAAGAGACATTTCTGAAGGTGTAGTTATGGCATAACTAGAAATGGTTAGAGGCCTTATGCCATAAAATTTACAAAAATGTCCTATCCAACAAATTAAATGAAAATTGATAGTATTCAAACCAAATGGACTGGGACCACACATTATTGTCCAAGTTATGAAATATCTGGCTAGTGTTAGCTTGAATGTATCTTTGAATGTTCATCTTCTTAGGTTTCAGCATGGTTTGGGTGCTTGTTATCTGCCCTTTCTAGGAAAGATTGGCCTCTAAAAAGATGTAAACATTCTTGCCACTGCCTTAAAAGTGGAACATTAATGCTATTTAAGTTTTCAAAATTCTCAAATTATGGAATTTTTTAATAAGAAAATTATCATTCGCTCAAAAATTGTTGTATAATTCAAAATTCCACTGCAAAGGACACACCCAATGCTCACATGCTTTCTAGTTTTTTAGTTATATGTACTAACTTGTTCTTTCCTTGTTCAATTGGATGTCAATACAGTGAGGTTAAAGATAGAAAAAAGACAGAAATTCGAGATAAAATCAAAATAAAATACAGATTTACTAGGATAGAACTAGATATAAAATTTTTAAATAAAATGTCAGGGAAGAAAAAAAAGGTCAAAAAGGCCAAAAACATTAGCATCCTAAGAGCATCATGAGGATGATCTAAAGCAGGGCCACTGAGATGGGGACAGGGGGGCAAACTGCCTTGATGTCTAGGGAACCTCATAAAGAAAGGAATTCCATTTTAAGAATGGAATAAATCCATTTATAGTATAGTAAATGATGGTAAAACATGACAATGAAACAATTGAAACAAAGTAATATTGAAACGATTGCAAGAAAATGACTTAGGTGCGGGCGCATATCCAGCCTGAATTCTGACCTATGCAAAGGTTGTCAGAAAGAGAAGCCAAGCCCTTTTGTGCTGGAAACGCCCAAATATTTCTGAATAAAATCAGTATCACTGATATTGAATAGGGTGTTCCAAAATGGAATTCTAAGGAAACAACTTGCAAAGAGAAGGCTTAATTTACCTGCAATTCGAAGGAAAAAAGATTAAGTAGCCCGATCCCGGTAGGATTCAAACCAGGGACCCCCACATTCCAAAAGCAGTGGTCATACCTCAACACTACAGAACAGACACTGCAAGGTTGACTAACTTAGCTAGAAGTTCCTTAGCAGAGGTGAAGCAGTGATAGTCAATTCTCATTTCATTGGTTGCAACAAACAATTAGAGAAGTCCTCTGTAAACAATTGCATAGGTCAACTCTGATTCCTATTGGTTGGCTGTACCGCTGCAGAGGCAAGCTCAACTTCTAATTTGATAAATCAAATCTCACCTATGATCGCCCCAAAGATTGCAAAGGTGAAGTACACTCTGATTGGCTTACAAGACATTTGCATAGGTCAAACAAGCAGTGATTGGCTCTCGAGGGACAAACAAGTTTCTGGATTCAGAAAATACGGACCAGATAAATGCCTAGAATCACCTCTCGGCTATTCTGTGCAGAGGCCGAAAGATAGTCAGCAAAACAATGCCCTGTCGTCTGCAGGTTGTTTGTATCAACAGCGTCGCTAAAGAATTTGCCAAAGAAACTTTTGATTAATAATTTCCATTTCATTTTGTTGTTGTAAAAATCTGACTTATGCCTCTGCATAAGTTGCTGTAGTCTGGATCCGCCTCTTAATCTAAAGAACAGGGTGACAAGAATTTTCTGTTTGCTTGCAAGGAGCTTTTCTTCAGTTTTACCCCAGGCCAACTGAAACTTTTTGGCAGCCCTGATCTTAAGTGGATCACTCAATTTGGAATGGCACACTTCTTTCCAAGCTCAATTGCAAACAAATTTGAAGGGATATTTTGCTGTATTTGAAAAAACTTTTTAATTTGCACCACATCCAAAAACACACCTAAACACGCCTATCTTTTGGGTGTGCAAGAGTTCACTCGTTGTTTTACAAAAATTTCTCAGGAGTGCAGTTGCCATACTGGAATAGAAAGAGGTCAGGTCTTTTGTAGGAAATCCATGAGATTCATATGAAATCCTGACTGTATTGCCTTATTGATGACGACATTTCTCGAAACCTGTGAAAAAAATTCTTATGCCAAAATTTAGCCGTTTATTGAGATACCGACAGAGGATCGAAAGAAAATGACAGTTACGAATAAATTTTTGTTAGCTGGGAATTAATTTTTTCAAATGTCCTTTTTTACTCAAGCTCGCCCCCTTGCCCCTTGGTCGTTTCCGGATCCGGCGTCCCTGAAAGAGGCTTTAGACAGAGATTTCGAGGCACAATAATAGGACCTTAAAATAAAAGTTATTCTAACCTTCCTTAAAGTCCTCTTCGATTTTTCTCTTTTTATCTGATTTCCACTTCGTCCACAACGAAGAAGTTGTGAAAAAAGCTAGCAAGGATGCAAAAAACGCGTAGCCTGCTAACGTTAGAGTAAAACCAACTATCACAGCAGCAAGTGCTCCACTGAAGTTAAGTGACCGTTTACTGTATCCTCTGACTGAAACTAGAATCGATGAAATCCATGCAAAAATAAATCTAAAAATAAAGGAGTTCACTATCACCGCCATGGCCATGGTTCTTTTTTACGGTGCAACTACAAGCCCACCTCCAATTAAGGTGCACGTGTGCTATTAAGGTGATTCGTTTTCAAAAAATGAAAGCCAGCTGCCAAGGTGCGCATTTACAGGGTGGGAAACAAGGCCTTGCATTACTGTTCAAAACATGCTCATTTAGGCATGCATTTCATCTAAGTAAACTGTTCTTCTATCTTCCAGGGCCCCACGTTATTGCAGAATAATAGAGCGTTTTTAAAAATCTTTTGTTATGATTGTTTAAAACTCCTATGCCCCCCCCCCACTTTTCAACCTGCGTCGGAGCCCATGTCTTCAGCATTTCCAAGCTATTTGCATTTAAATATAGGTTTTCTAAATAAACAATTAGCATAGCGTAAGTAATAAAAATATGTAGTTAAATAACTTGCGGACGTTCCAACCTAAGAATATTGAAAATGGGGAGATTTTTTAATGAATCTTCGTGGAATTTACGAACTTGCCCCGTCATCAAAAAATCAATGCATGCCAAATTTGCAAAAAAAATCACAAAAAAAGCTCTTGCAAAAATTGATTTCTTAAAAATTGGTTGATTGATGATAACGATAATACAGTGATGGTCGTCATGAGGCTGGAGATGATGATGGTACCACTTCTCAAATGCAAGAACGCATGGCTAAAATTCCAATCAATTTATATCCTAACAACTGGCGTTGAAGAGACTTCATGCAATGCTGCCTTACGACAGCTGTAAATTTTCGGTATAAGAATGTAGTTTTTATGTTTATTTGTTTGCACTTGATGACTGTGACAGCTAAAATTTCTAACTGAGGATTAATCATCATAATTCTAAAAATTAGATTTTTAACATACACCCAAAACAGGTCATCACGAATAAAGCTCAATTTTCCCGCTGCTCTAGCTTTGGCCAGCCTGCCTTCTTTAGGAAAATGCTTACAAGACTGCGGTAACAGTATTCTGAAAACTAAGAAATTATCCTGCTTTGTTATAACAACATTCTATTTTTTGGTGTGGTTATCAAATTTTCACGAACAAATAATGGTCAAAAATGTTTCATTTGCGTATCATTAGAAGAAAATGTGGATATTCTTTAAGAACATCCTCCCGTTCTTTGCAATTCTCGTGACTCAAAGTGGTGCAGCTGTCTCTTTTTAGCGAGTTTTGGTGAATTGGGAAATTATTAACTTGCAACATGTTACGAATATAAGTTTTATGGGAGAGTTTTGGTAAAGAAATTATTTCTGCATAAGCACGAATATCCTCGAGATTATCATTGCTAAGCGTAACTCTATTTTTAAGATAAGGGCATAAGATTATTTTTTCGATAAAAATAAACGTGATACAATTCTTATTTGTGTCTAACGACGCATGTAAGGAAGGAAGGTTCGAACTTTGACTCAACTGCGACTTCGTTGGTCAAGCTTGTGACAAAAGTTATATCACTTGTGGAGCCAGACTTTGTCTCTCACCTCCCCATCCACGTTGCGTACCCACTCATAAAGGAGAGCACTAGCATTTGAGACAGTGACACGCCCGTAACCGTAGTCGTTCTCGGCATACACTGACCAAGGCATTTTGAGATGGTCATCTTTGTCACGTGTCATTCCAGCAGTCCCAACAACAATATGAATGACGCCATCATCCCTGCATTCTTGTCGATACACCTTGCAGGTGCGTTCGTAACTATGGTAATGGGCCCAGAACGCCATGTCAACGCGGTATTTGAAGAGAAGGTCCTCAAACGCAAGCTGCATGCCGAAGGAAACTCTAAGATCACTGCTTATGTCTGCACTAGCGTACATCGCACGGTGACCTCCGATCAACACCCAAGGTGTCTTCGCACGATTTACACTTTGCAGATCATTTTCTAGCCATTCATACTGCCTACTGCCAGGCCTGAAGTCATGTTCCGTGCTCATCATAATCATGTGCACCATACCATAATCATAGCTGTACCACCAAAGATGGTTTCCATTATCTGGCATGTGAAATCTGTTGAACATCGGAACTCCACATTCACCTCCTGAATCATCGCCATAATTTCCCCAGTATGGGTGAAATCCTAACCCAGATGCCCCACTGGGGTCCTTTTCCCCGCCACTGACATGATCCTGCTCGTGATTTCCAATTCCAACCATGTATGGTATAAGAGTTGAATATGGCTCAATGTATAAATGCCACAGATCCCATAGATAAGCCTAAAACACAATTTTTATATGAATATATTCATGTTAGCTGCATTTTACTTATTGCTGATTAACTTTTGCTATTAACTTGGTCATCAGTTAATTAAGCAGATTTACTTGTGAATACCCAATGTGCATCTTGTGATACTCAATGTTCACCCTTCGTCAATACAGTGGGGTGTAATGGTATCAAAATAAGGGGATTCTTGTCGAAAATGGCTATTTTTCGGCATTAGCAAGGCAGGCTCAGCCCCTAACCCAGCGCCCCCTAGCACTACACCCCTGGTCATCAGGGCCGTCACCTATTGTGCTCAAAAGGGTGCTTAGGTCTAATTTGCCAAAAAGTTGGTGTACCAGCCCTTATTTGCTGATGAAGCAGCCCTAGATGGCAAAAGACTTCAGTTTTTACAAACGGATGTTTTCCCACACCCCACCTTAGCGGCAAGTTAACGTTGATGCATAAAAAAATTACCAATCCCAAGGCTGTCTTAGCTTCTCGTGGTGAGATTCAGCCATAGAGAAAGGAAGCTTAATCATTTGCCCCAGGTCCCATTCTTCTTTCTTCAGTGAGTAAAGTCATTTGGCGAATACAAGACCGTACCTGCTTTTTTTTCGGAGGCTCGTGCCCCTCATATTTCAAAAAACGTTTTTTTCCAATGAAAATATGTCGCCTAGACACACTTGGCGGATTGGAAAATAGGAAATGGTTTTAATGCGAATCCTTGTGTCAAATATTTAGAATATATCCTTGTACCAAATTCTAATAAATACTTTCTATCTAAAAAAGCAAAGTTTCAAAAGACTTCTCACAATCATTTAGTTATACGTACATGACCTCTTGCATACGAAATATCTCCATTGTGGAAAATGAATTGAATATCGTTCTTCCTATACTCTTCTAGCATCCAAGCAGCGGTTTCGAAGGCACTAGGGAGTGTCAGACCCATGTCACCATAAACGATGAATTTGAATGGCTTCTTTGATCCACTTGGAAATGCTGTTGTAAAGTTCATCACTGGACTCATGGCCTGCCAAAGATACGAAAACTTGTCTAGGTCAAGGAATTCGCAACGGGCTAGACTGGAGTTAATACAATAGTTCTCCCTAGAATTATAAGGTCTCTATAGACCAATAGGTCTCTTATCCTAAAAAAGCCTTATTATACCAAAATTCAAGGCGGCAAACCCCCAATAGCAGATAAATCAAATTCTATAAACACAAACGAGGCTGTAGAAGAATTACCCCACATTTTGCATTGCTAAGAAAAATATATCTTAGGCTGTTTAAACATATTTGAAAAGTTAAGTAGGTCATACTTGTTAGGCCAGGGCAGGTAGCAGAGCAAGCCAACACCCCTTCCATTTCCCGATCTTACGCAAATACGTGTTACTTTTCAGGTAGTAAACTATACTAACGTTATTCTTGCATTTTGATTTAACAGATATCTGCTAATGAGGGAGGAGGTACTCAAATATATTTAGGATAGGGGTGCTCAGGCTGTACTACAAACCCTCAGCCCCCCCCCCCAAAAATAATTTCTAGCATAAAAATATTTTTCTCGCCATCCACCAAAAAGCTTGCAGTTTTCTCTATCCTATAAAAACATTTCTCATAATCGAGATCCAAACAAATAGTTCTGGATTCCATGAACCCAAATAACTGTTTAAAATGGTGACCCAAAAAGTAACTTTTGATCAAATTCTAGATCCAAAAACGTAGCCTGCGCGTCCCTTTGCTCAAATAGTCAGGGCTGTTAGCCAAAATGTTGTGCAAAACCGGATACCAGCATGAAACCAAGTGAAGGTCTAAAAATAGCACATAGGGGCATTTCTCAGCTGGGTTCTGTATCCTATCTTTTTGAGCATATCAAACTGCCAATTTCTTCCAATCTTCATGCTGATATCACAACTAGCAGCGATAGCAGCGATATTATTTGAATAAGTGCTTTGGGGCCTGGGACCCAATACAACGTTCTAAAAGTAGCACTTGGGGGCATTTCTCAGCTGGGGTCTGCATCTTATCTTGCTCAGCGCCCAAAACTACCCTTGTGGACAAAGTTTCATCCTAGTATCCGATTTTGCACAACTCTCGCAAAATCTTGGTCTAACAGCCCTAACTAAAATATACGAGCAAACTCCTGGGAGGATTACGAAGGATAAACAAGATTCAGACATGCTAAAAGAGATCAAATTGCAACATAAATACAAAGGCCTGTTGTATCAACCTCAGTTGTGCCATAAGAATAAAAGTAGCGTGTCATGGGCTTCAGCTTTGTAAGCAGTATGTCATGAATATAACCAGGCTCCCTGAATCCAGTGGTATTGGCAACTGGTCCGCACATATCACTTGCTTTGTACGTCCAAGATTTACCAGTGGCTTCCATATCCAGCTTGCTTTTGGACACACCATATTTAACAACAATTCTTTTGGCTACAAAAAACCGTTTTAAATTAGGGCCCGTTCACGCTACTCTGTTTTCAAATGAAAACGGAGTCAAACTAATCCCTTTTTGCCTTGCGTTCACACTACTCTGCTATGAAAACGGAGTCGTTTGAAAACGCAAATGAAAACGGATTTTTTCGAATACACATGTGAATACGCTAACAGCGGCAACAAAATACGCACACCAAATTTAAAAAATTTTGAAATCGAGAATTCACAATGGACTGGTAGCGGTTACAACAAAAATTTTCACAATTTGCTTCATTTAATTTCATCAAAATGACGCCAATTTGTTGAGGATTCATGAACGCCTCTTTTCAAAAAATGAGACCACCAACACAATGATGTATCATTGCACCAACAGCGTTTTTGTTGAAGCAGTGTAAGCACTTACCGTATTCAAATCGTATTCTTTGAAAAATTGGAAATTTTCTGGCAGCTTTGGATTTTTCTGCAAAGGTGTACGGTACTTTATTATTATCATTCGTTATGTTGATTAGAAGTGGACATTTTAGGACAGTTTAGGACATTAGAGAACTGGGACCGAGTTTCAGTTTTTTTTAGTTAGATCTTCGAGAGCACGAGACAAGATGGCGAATCTTAGAGTTTAGCGATTTGTGTGCGGCACATTTCCGTACATACGTGGCGACCCTGCCAGGACACATACCGGGAGAATCATGGCAAATCCATCAACAGAAACAGCAACAGGAGATGGGCAAAATTTAGGCCCAGAGATTGATATCGAGAAGGAAATAGCGAAGTTGAATTATTATACAGAGCAGACAGATGAGCTCATAGAAATTGGAGACACAGTAGAAATGGAGATAGCAACAAATAGGGTGAAGGTAATCCACAATAAGATAATTGATTTGACAGGGAGAATTGAAGAGATGAAATTAGAACAAGGGGAATCATCTAGGTCAGTTAGGCAGTGGAAAAAGGATGTGAAAGATAAATATACAGGAATGTTAGAGCAAAATGAGAAAATGTTGAGAGCTTTAACACAAATAGAAACTCAAACAAGAGAGGAAGGTCTGAGAAGGGAATTTGAAAGGAAGCAAATTGAGCAGCTAAGGGAAGATAAGAGAATGCTAGAAAGACAAAAGCAATTAGCAGACCATGAAGAGAAAATAAGAAGGGAGAGATACTTACAAGAGAAGTCTTTATGGGAGGAAAGAATGCATGCTGAAATTAAACTTGCAGAGAAAAAGCTAGAAATGGAATGTGGGGCTAAGGCAACCTTTTCAAAACTGCCAGAGCTGAGAGTCACACCATTTAAAGGCACAATAGCTGACTGGATAAGATTTGAAAACATGTTCACAAGTCAAGTTTTAAGTAAGGGGTTTAGTGATGAAGTTAAATTTGGATATTTGTTAGAGATGGTGAATCCCAGAGTAAGGGATAAAATTGCAAATCTGAAACCAGGAAAAGTTGGGCTTGAAACTGCCTGGAAAAGGCTCAAAAAGGAATATGGGCAAAGGAATGCTGTGATAAACACACACATTGATGAAATTGTGAATCTACCTACCATAAAGGGAATAAATTATGAGAAAATTCAAGAATTTTATGACAAGCTCACAAAGAATTATGATGCCCTGCTGACACTTGATGAAGAAAACATGTTGAGAGGATTTGTGATGACAACATTAAACAAGCTGCCAAATGTCAAGTCTGATTTGGTAAGGCTGGATGATGATTGGGAAAGCTGGGGGATGTCAAAGCTTATTGATAATTTGCAGAAGTGGTTGAAAAGAAACAAAACAGAGGAAATAGGAAAGCCAGTGGAAAAAAGAGAAAAACACTGGTATACAGGTGAAACAAAGGAGAAACACTCAAGAAAATGTATTTATTGTGATCAAGATCATTGGAGTGATAAGTGCAAAACACAGGAAACTATAGAGAGTAGGAGGAGCTTCTTCAGAGAAAATAAGCTATGCTTCAACTGTGGGAAAAAAGGACACAGGGGGGATAAGTGTCTAAGTAGGGGGTGCTACTTTTGTAAGGCTAAACACCACAGCAGCCTATGTGAAAAGCAGAAAGGTGAAAGTGAAAAAGGTTCAATTTTAACAGGATTCACACCTTCTGTGGAGGAAACACTCCCACCAATTTTGCCTGTAAGAATTGATGGAAAGGTTATTTGGGCATTCCTTGACACAGGTTCAGGAAGGAATTTCATTTCTAAGGATGCGTTAATGATGCTCAAATCAAAACCTGAGAGATATGAAACAAAAGATGTAACAACTATCAATGGAACAGCAAGAAAAGCCATGCCAATCTTTCAGATGACCATAGAATCATTAGACAAGAAAGCCAGAGAACATATTGAGGTTGCAGGGGTAGAAATGCATGATTTCACAACAGTCAAAAGGCCAGATTTAAGGAAATTGAAACAGCAGTTTAGACACACCAAAGACAAAGAATTCTACATAACAGCATCAGGGGAACATAAAATTCACATGATTATTGGAGACAAAACATACAGCAAACTGAGAACAGAGACAGTTTTCAAGGGGAATGATGATGAACCAATTGTAGAAGGCACATCATTTGGTTGGATTATTCATGGAGGAGAATTTTCTAGCACAAATTGCATGTTCACCAGAGAGCTTGGAAATGAATATGAGAGATTATACAGCCTTGACATACTTGGGGTTGAAGACAGGGGACAAGATGACCAATTAGATGTTTACAAAGAGTTCAAAGAGAACATTTCCAGACAAAATGATGGAAGGTATGAAGTTAATGTTCCATGGATACCAGGAAGCAATTTGGCAGAAACAAATGAGATGCAGAGCAGAAAGAGATTGAAAAATGTTGAGCGCAAACTGAGGCATGATGAAAAACTGCAGAAAGAATACACAGAAATTGTTGAGAATCAGTTAAGAGAGGGAGTTGTGGAGAGAGTTCCAAGTGAACCATCTGGAACAAGAATATTTTACATGCCTCACAAACCAGTTGTAAGAGAGAGCGCTGCTACCACAAAGGTGAGAATGGTATTTGATGCTAGTGCACGCCCAACGCCAACAACAAACAGCATCAATGATTGCATGTACAAGGGACCTGCGTTGCAGCCAAATATTTGGGACATTATGGTCAGAGCAAGAATGACACCATATCTGCTGCTAGGAGACATACAAAAGGCATTTTTACAAATTGGAATTAAATCAGAGGATAGAGATGCATTCAGATTCTTATTCACACTGAGTGGGAAGGAAGAACACCTAAGATTTCTAAGGGTCCCTTTTGGGGGGGAAGCCAGCCCATTTATGTTGGGGGGAACCTTGCAGCACCATTATGAGAAATTTACTAACACAGAGCTAGCCAGTACCCTAGAAATGCTCAGAGAAAATACATATGTAGACAATCTGATGTGTACAGGAATGAGCATTGAAGAGCTTCAAAGATTTAAAGGAGAGGCAACTGAAATACTAGAGGATGCAAAGTTTCAAATTCATAAATGGGAATCCAACATAGAAAGCCTAGAAAGTGAAAATATGGAGAATCCAAGCAAGATTTTGGGGCATGTTTGGAACAAGGAAGAAGATACTTTGATGGTACCCATAAACAAAGGGGAAGAGGATAAGGTCTCAAAGAACACTGTATTGAGTCAATTAGCCATAATTTATGACCCCTTGGGAATCATTTCACCAACCCTAGTAGAAGGAAAGAGAATCTTCAGGGAGGCCTGTGATGAGAACAAGGGAGGGGATGCTGAAGTTTCTGAACCCCTTATGAAAGATTATTTGAGATGGATGAGACAGCTGAGAGAATTAAAGATACCAAGAACTTTAGTAAGAGAAATAAGAGCAGTTGATGCAGTGAATTTACACATATTTGCAGATGCAAGTGAAAAGGCATGCTGTGCTGTGACAATTGCAGTAGTGGAACAAGGATCAAGCAAAGTAAAGGGCTTACTCACTTCAAAGTCAAGAATTTCAAAGAGAAACACTTCGATAGCCAGACTTGAGTTGGTTGGGGGGCAAATGGCAGCAAACATGGCCAAGAACATTTGCAAAGCATTGAAGAATTGGCCAATAACATCAATCAATGTGTGGATGGATAGTATGGTGGCCTTATTTTGGATAAACAATCCAGGGAAACAATGGAAAGCATTTGTAGCGAACAGGGCAGTGGAAGAAAGCGAGAGTAGAAGAGCTTGTGAAAGGAAGAGACGACGTAGTCAGGGGAGTGCTTTTGAGACACAAAGGACATCTCATAGAGCGACCGGTTCAAGCTATCTGCCCATTGGAGATTGGTTGTCAAGCGAAAGAGTCACAGACAGTGGAAACAATCAAAGGAGCAACTGATGACAAAGTCAATGTGATAACAGTTGAAACAATCAACGGAGCAATCGATGCCAAGGCCAATGTGACAACAAGAGAGAAGAGAAGAGCTGCGGTGGATGCAGAAGTGAAGACGAGACTTTGTTTGGAAGAAGATTGAAGAGGACAACTGCGTACCGTAAAGGTTTGATAAAATTTGACTCAAGTATGTTACTTTACTCAAATTTTAGGGGAGTTTGTGTACGGTACTTTATTATTATCATTCGTTATGTTGATTAGAAGTGGACATTTTAGGACAGTTTAGGACATTAGAGAACTGGGACCGAGTTTCAGTTTTTTTTAGTTAGATCTTCGAGAGCACGAGACAAGATGGCGAATCTTAGAGTTTAGCGATTTGTGTGCGGCACATTTCCGTACAAAGGACAGCTTTTGTAAAAAGTTATTTTAAAAAAACATCGTTAATGTAACAGGTGGCTGTGTGACAGACGAGAAACAGAGCCAAGGAAAGAAATTACTCGAGGCTGGTACAAGGAAAAGAATGCCTTGCTAAGGACAGTATTGTAACTTTGCTCGCCAGTTGCTAGCCCTACTGGGTATCGCTAGAAAATCGCCTGCAGCTACTGTGAGACATAATCATTCATGCGAAAAAGTCTACTCAACTTACATAACGATGACGTCCACATAACTCGCATTTCTGCAGGGTTGCCCGTCAAAGCAAGCCTCCCCTGCAAAGGAGCGTTTACGCCAAACTGAAAAGAAACCTTGTTGCTTCTCGCAGTTAACGTTGATTTTCCATAATTCCTAAAGTAACGAAATTCGCAGTCATCTCTTAAATTGTAAAGTCGAACGGAATGACTCCCGTATCCCAGGTTCCATGTGGAGGTCACATCAACAAAGAAGTGATCAAGATGTCTTTTTATATTATCATTTGGTGGGCATAATAGGGCAATCCAATCTTTGGCGTTTGGTTTGGCAATCCCACTCCAAGACACAGTTACCCGCTCACCACTCTTCAGAAAGGAAGGCCTCACGGTCAGCACGGAATGTTGCAAATCGTAGCTCGATATCTTTTCGATTATAGGATGATTAATTTCACGGCCATAGTCAGGCCCGTCTTTGTTTATGAGATTACCATCTTTGTCTTGCCTCCTGAAATATGTGGGTACCACATGCGCATGTTTGGTGTTCTTGGATACTGCCTGTTTGGAGCCAGCATATGCCGTAGCCAAGTAGAGTAAAGTGACATAAAACTGAAACATGGCTCTCCCATCAAATTTTAGGAAGCTACTCGCAGATTCTACTTTCAAAAACATACCTCTCTTTAGAGCATGCGCTGAGGTCTTGTGACATTGGTGTTAGTTCCAAAGTTCTGTCATGCCATTTCCGGCTTGCAAAAAGACAGACACAAGGGAATAAACAGAGACCTGAAAACTGTGAAAAGTAATTCAAATTCCAGTTCACTGTAATTCGACAACAACTTCTCAGGATGACACTAAGATATAATAGAAATATCTAAGTTTGCATCGAAAAATATTTTTAAATAGATATTGGTGTTGCCTAGGCCGTTTTAAGGTGCGATATGCTGCATAAAATTACAATTTTAACATTTGTTCAAGTAAACTGACAAGTTTACAACTTTAAAAGCTTTTATAGAATTTGAACAAAGAAAAGTAGTAAAAGAATGTGATGAATGATAAAAAACGATAAAAGAAATAAATAAATTATGAGAACGGTAACTGAATGGTAAAAGGAAGGTATTTATTTTCAGCCGGCAAATTGCTCCCACCGTTTAATGAGGCGTGTTCTGCGATGACCTCCTAAACGTTGTTATACAGCTAATTCTATCCTTTTTCTTTGTGATCACTTAATTTGCTTGCTTTTAGATATTTTCGTCAGTACCACAATACTGTTGTTTTTACCATGTCGTGTTTATACCTTGCCAAAATTCTATGTAACTGCATTGTGTCACAACCATTATTGTATTCATTAACAGTGCCGTAGGAAGGGAAGGATAGAATTATTAGGGGTACCATTGGTTGAACATATTTGGAGCAAAAGGGATGGTTCATTTGAAAAACAGAAGAATGATTTTTTGGGCAAGAGGCCCATCAAGAACAGAAGTGCTTACAGACCTGATTACAACATTGTTAACGGTAGTTTTTGCTTATCTCGATGAGTTTTTGAAAGATTTCCCCAGTTGCATATTGTAAACAAAAATTTAGGTGAAGCGGCTTATTTTCCCATGAAACATATAGCATAGAACCGGAAAAGTGTTAGTAAGGTCTATAGATAAACCTTCCATTTTCTTTTCATAAAGATGACAGACGACGTTTCTATCAAAGCTATAAAAGCCAACTGTCTTATCCACAAAACAGGAATTTCTGACAAATATGAAAGTGATCTTTAGGTGGTATAATGGTGGCTATGTACCAAGGCAAGCCCAACGAGAGGGGGCAAGGGGGGGGGGACAAATTGCCCCAGGGCCTCGAGGTCAATAGGGCCTAATAAAAAACAAATTTTATCTAGAGGATTAAATTAATGAAATGTAATAAAAGTATTCCTTAAAATATCAAAACTTTTCAAATTATTGAAAAAACGGAGACCCACTACCGTGTACGGATATGAGATCCATTTCTATGGAACACATTTGTAAGTTAGCCTCGTCTTCGCGATGCTTTTGGAACTTATTTCAAAATGTGCACGAGAAGTTGAGATGGGAAGGTCTGGTTGTGAAAGGTTTTATAAATAATTTGCTTCTCAGAAGTTGATGTGAGCCTAAGATTATATCTTTCAAATATATGTTCTAGTTTCAAGATTCTTTTTAACTTTTTTCAGTCACTGATTTTAGTTCACGAACCATACATAGTATAGCACTGATTGATTGATGATGGTGGCCTAAATTCTTGCGACCTTTTGTGCGTTGTTGTAATTTTCATACAATCTTTTTCTTGATAGTTACTGCATTAAAATAGCTAGATCAACAGTCTGAGTTTGCATCCTTGAGCTTGCTTTACCTGCTTGGAAATATAAATATAACACAATAGGCCGACGTTTTACGAAAAGAATAAATGCATGCCTTTTGAGATTGGAAGAACGTAATTTTACACCAACGATCTCGATGAATATGCGTGTACGAAGAATTTGTATGAATCAAAACCATTTCAAGAAGTAATATCTAGATTTATTATTTAAAGTAGTATTTACCTATAGTACTTTGCGAGAAAGATTTTTTTAAAACCATGTAATGATTATCTAATAATCATTAAAACCAACTTACAATCTTGTATCCTTCATTGAATAAACGCAGGGAATAAAAACATAATGTCAGGATCTCAAAAACAACAGAGAGTCACTTTGGAAGAGGTTCAAGCTGCAATAAATGCTCTTTACAAAGGAGCAGATGTCACAAAGAAAGATGAAGCTTCAAGATGGCTTGAGCATTTCCAACATTCAGTATGTTTTCTTAACTGTCTCTTCTACCTTATCAATCATTGTTCATCAATTAACAAAGGCTATGTTAATTTTTTGTGAACTATTTAGGCTCTCTGTGTTCATATCTAGTCCTGAACAACTAATCAAATCTTTGATATATGCTAACTTATTGCAAAGCCTTGCTTCCTTATTACATTTCCTATTATATTTGTCATAATCCCTATATGACCACTGGCAATTCATCGACCAACACTTAGATGCATCCTTTGCATCTAAATGATTATTAGGGGGCCTCCTTTGTTTGACATCTCTAATAACAAACTACAGGTCGCCAAAAATGGTACCTACCTGGAAACCATGCACCAAAATTACCAAGATGCCAGTTTTTATCATTTTTTAATGTTCATCTGCTATATTTGTTGGGGTGTGTCCCCTTTTCTCTAACCATAGTTTCTTTAAGATTGCAAATTTTGCAGTTTGCCCCTACTTGTCCCCCTCTTGGTGGCCCTGTTTATGTGTATTGAAAAAGTTTCTTTTGAAGATGCTTGTCCTTCTTTTCAGCTTTGTTTTTCTGAGTTACATCTTTTTATCAGTCAGAGATTGTTGATCTGCTGATATATTAGAGAATAAATCTGAGTCAGGCCTGATTAGGCCAGTTATTAGACCCAGCAATATCTGGCTAAATGTCCTCTTGTTTGTATGGTTTTGCTGTATTCAATCTCTTTGTTTTAGGTGCATGCTTGGGAACTTTCAAGTCAGCTCCTGCACTTAAACCCTGACACAGAGACAAGTTATTTTGCAGCACAGACTATGAGATCTAAGGTTTTATTTTGTTTATGTTTTAGTATTAATCTTGTATTGAGGTTCCTAGTCTTAAAGCTTTGGCAATGTCAATTTGTTTTGTTCTTTTGGTGACACTTTAGCCAAAAAGCACTATTTATATATTTTATCTTTTCAATATCATTAAACTGAATTATTTTTTAAAATGACCCAACTTTTGATACTGATTTATTTTTAACTGTTGTTTCACACAAGTGGAAGTGAAATTCATTATATTTGAACAATCATTTTTTATATCATATTAATTTTAATGTTATTGAAGCAAATGGTATAAAATAGCTATTCTCCACAAGTTCTTGATTATTTAAGTTTTTGCATTTGTGTTGTTAAGTTTGGTTAACTTGAGTATGTGGTTTAGAATCTGGAGTTCTAAACATAAAATCATCTAGAGACTTCAAAATGATGTAAAGCTTTTCAACCAGTTTTGTGTATAATCTTATTTTGTGTTTGTTTTGTTTAGATCCAGTATCATTTTGCAGAACTGCCTATTGATACTCATAATGTAAGTAAAGAGTTATTTGATTCCATTGCCTATCACTATATCCTGTGCTGTCAGCCTAACTTTGTTTGTTTTAACTATGTTTTGCTAAATTTTTGCTTCTCATTTTCTTATGAATCCAAATTTGCAAAATTAGTTCATATGTTATCAGATTTATACTGTTTTTGCTTTTCATGTTACAAGTCCCCCCCCTCCCCCCCCCTCCCCAAAAAAGTGCTAACTCAATCTAAAAAGTTTTCTTTGTTATTGTCAAATGTCAAATTCAACAGGTCTTGAAGAATTCTTTGATGCAGCAACTGAAAACATTTCAAAAAGACTCTAAATCAACCATCACTCAGGTATGTAACAGCAGCTCCTAAAGGTATTGATAACAATTTGAATCTTGTAGGCTCCTGAGCGTTTTATTTTTCAGACATTTTGATTTATGGTTTAATCAAGTTTAAAACCAATATAATATCATAAAATTAATGGATTGAACTCTTATAGTTGCATACATTAAAAATTGAATATTTCAATTATTTCTGTGTAAAAACATTTCTTAAGGCCTTTCCCGGAGAAGCACTGGATCAAGTGTGAATGCCTAAAGCACATAAAATAGCAATGGAAAGTTATTTAGTGGGCGTCTGAAAATGTAAAACAATTGCCACAAAGCAAAGTATTGTTTTATGATAATGATGATCAGACTTGAGCTATCACCCAAATGACCTCAATATTATGATTTATAAGATTTGTACAAGAGGTTATATTGCTAATCTTTTGATTTTTTTACCTCGCATTTTATAAAAGCATTTGAAAGTTGGATTATTTGAAAATTGCAATTTAGTATTTTGGCCTTTTAGCAAGAAAAAGTCCCAAGCAAGTGGCCCAGCTCTCCCGTGATTTCTCTTGTGCCAGTAATTGCTCTTAAAATAATAATAGTAATAAATGATACTGAAAGCGTTATTAACCTTTTTAAAAACCGTATTATTGTGTTATGAGGTGCTTTTGTGTAAGGTAACATGGGCTCAGAGACATGTTGGAAAGTGAGAGGGCTGAGGTAAAATTTAAAAATGGTAACAAGAGTTTTTGAGAAAAGCTCTATTTTTTGCTAAAAAGTGGTAAGACATGCTTCAAATGAAAAGGCCTGAATTATATTCGAAAATGCAATGATATTTGAAAATGCAATGATATTTGAAAATGCAATGATATTTGAGATTTCAATGTTTTAGTTTGGACCCTAAAAGTTTGATTTGTTTTCATTAAGAAGAAAATGTAAACGTTTGAAAATGTATGTGTGTAGATATGGTGTGCAACCTGTTCACATGATACTGTTTAAAAATAAATATGTCACAATATCATACCCAGGACCCAGAGGTGTTGTGCCATAGGAGCTCAACCCCCACTATCTATGCCAAAAAGGAGCCAATTTCCACTTTTACTCCTATTTTTGCACTCCTCCCATATATGTTTTTAATGTAGATATATTTAGAAGTGTGAAATACAGCACCTTATTGTATTGAAAAGTTGCTTTATCAAGCATTTTCATTTTGTATTCTGTTTCTGTATCTTTGTAATTTTGGGATTTTCTTTCTCAAATTTGATAAGCTGACTTTATCATAAAAGGTCTATTATGATTATTCAAATTATATAAATGACTGATGAAGCAGCCAAGGTCTGAATAAAGGCCTAGTTTGAAGAAATGTCTACACTTAGACCAATTTTTTTTAATGTGGTCCATGCCTTAATAAGTGCCTAGGTTCAAATATGCACTATATAAGTATAAATTATTGAATATTTTGTTTCTTTTTCAAAACAAAATAGTATTAAAATTTGGTATTCTCAAAATTGTGATAAGCATCAGAAATGGAATAAACTCCTCTCCTAAATGCATGTCCCTCCTAATAGACTAAAGATTAAATAAGCCACCCTGATGTTTTACTGATGAGTTTTGGAAGTCACAATGTTAAGCAAACTTTATATTTTTCAACAGCTCTGTCTTGCTTTAGCTGATCTGGCAACACAGTCTCCTCAGTGGAATAGCCCAGTCAATGAATTGATTCAAGGGTAATTTTTAGACTGTTTTATCCTTAGAAACAAATTTTCTGATACAAACATGTTGATTTGTATATATTATAACATCCAATTTTTATATAATGTAAATTTGATGCAATTTATTCTTCTTTGTTTTTAGGTTTTCAACTTCTGTCGAGGAACTTCCTATTTTGCTGGAAATTTTGGCATATCTACCAGAAGAGGTTAAATATCATTTAGCAAGTTTTCTATCTTTGGCAAATGACTATATTGTATAACAACAGATCTCTCCAATCAAGGCTCCTCTAACATCTTTTCAGAACTGAAATGTTTTTTCATATATAAGTAATGGTTGTGTTAATTGTTTCACCTGCAGTTGTTCTCAGTTTTTGATATAGCCTGAAATCTTAAGCTGGTGTAAATTAGGTCAATTTTCCATATTTTTTGTGAACTAACAAAGAAGCAAATTTTGCACAAGGTGAGTCATGTTGTAAATTATGCTTGTACTTACTTTAGAGAACCCTGCATCAATATTTTTCTTTTTTTACTCTATAGGTTGAGAGCCCTCACTTGAAAGTGGGTAGAAACAGACGTGAGGAATTCTCAACCTTGCTCAGAAAATCATCTGAAACAGTTCTTCATCTACTAGTGAGTGATGTTACAGCTTGTTGACTTTCTAGTGCTTATGGTAGG